TGCAAAAAGCGGGCCTACCCAGAGCTCGTGCGGGCGCACAGATGCCGGTTGGTCGTGCTTGCAGTCAAGGTTGGCGGGTGGTGTTTGGCCGGCGCCCGGGCACTTGAAGCGCCAGCTCGGCTGCGCCCCAGTGTTGTCGGCGCTCTTGTTGCCAGGTGGTCGGCCCAGCTGACCCATGCAGCCATGACAGCCTTTGCTTCGTCCCTTCTCAGGCAGGCTGCCGGGCCGGAGCTTTGCAATGCCGGGGGTGGCACCCTGCCTCCCCTCGGCACCTTGCTGGCTGATCTTGCGCACGTGCCACCGGCGGGCGCATCCCGCTTGCCCGGCCGGTGAGCCGCGCAGCCGGGAGCCGCCGGTATACAAATGGCTGCCCCCTTAATGCCCCCTTAGCACATCCGGGGGCCGCCGGTATATAAGTGGCCTGCAGGAGCAGACGGAAAAAGGCGCGAGACAAAAAAACATGGTCGTGAAGGAAAAAGGTAAGTTGCATTGCAGTTCTGATGCGCAGGTTGGAGTGGTGCCCGGATCCTCCACAACCTCAACATCAATGAGTCAAGATCTATGAGCCTGGACCATGGGTGATTGGGACGTGCAAGGATCCCATCTCACGCATATCGCGAATGGAAGTGTGAACCACCAGCTGATGGCAATAGTGGCCGGCAACCAGTATGGCATCGACGAGACTGGACTACTGAAGGGTACCGCCGGATTGCTCCTCCTCAGCCACAACATAAGCATCGATGGCACACCGCCTGGTCATCATCCACCTCGGCCGACGTTGCTGCAACCCTGGACACCATCTCACATGATGCTGCGACGGTCATTCTGAACCTGATCCACGCTAATCCCTCTGCTGAGGTGACCTGGGATGATGCAATCACTGGACTCGAGCGTCTTCAATCAACAGCACCTCACAACAGTGACGCTGGGACATCTCGTTCGGGAACAATATGCGAATCCGAAATCCGACCTGATGACGCTCGAATGCACCATGGTTGCCACCATCCGCCATGCTCGCGACGAACCCAGTCGATGTCGTTCTTCGACCATCCAGCCGCTATGAAACCCGTCATCGTCTCCATGAGAAGATGCCAGTTGCGCCGGTACGGGAAGGGCCGCATGAGGCACGTCCAGCATGAAAGGCGCGTGTGGATCCAGGCTGGTGTCAAAAGAGTCCTGTTTCGAAAGAACACGTTGATACCCTTGACAGCGCCAATCTTGCAGCTTCCAAACGTAGTCCCACCGTACCTAAATTGGGCTTCCCTCATCTTTGCACGGGGTTGAGTCATAACGATCCAGCGCTTGTTCCGCGTCCGATATGTGTTGCCATCCAGGGGTGGCAGTTCCTGGGTTCCATCAAGGATGACTGGTTCCTCAGGAACAAAGATCTTGACCCAATCCTCCCCCGCAAAGCAACTTAGTCAACCCAAGGGCGCGGGAGGTTCATCATCATCAGGATGATCCAAGTCCATGTTGTTGTCTGGTGAGAACACGAGCCTCAAAGCATGTGATTCAAGACAAGCACAAGCAAAGCAACGAACTCGAGGCACAACCCAGTTTTCATGAGCCGGCTGAGGGCTCATACATGCAGCAGCGATTCAACATAGGCCGCGTAGACGGAGTGGTGCATAGCGCGGAGAGGCAGCATTGTCCACGCGGTTCTGCGCAATAAGGCTCAGGACGATGATCGCTTGGGGGGGGCATTTCACGTGACAAAGCCATCAGCCCTGGAAGGTATCATTTTGAGAGGTGTCGTTCCTGGCGGCAATGACAGTGCGCGAAGGTTGGCGGTACACTTCGGAGTATTTGCACCTTGGGACAGCGAGAACATCTCGACTAAGACTGCAATGCACGACATAAAGGAGGGAGATGACCTCGTCCCCATGTACGTGCCCACAAGGAAGTTGTCCGTGTACCCCAATCAAGGGACGATCGTCGCCTTCGAGACCTACCTTCAAAGAGATAAGGAGAAGAGATTCAAGACCTGTGAAAGAGGTTAGGCGAACCTACTCCCGCGCCGTCGAGAGCGAGATCTGTCAGGATTCAAGGACGGGCGTGACCCCAGCGAACGTCCCCGGAAGCCTCAACAGTTTCCTGGACGATTGAGACTCTGCGGATGCTGACATCCTGAAGAAGATGGCGTGCGTCAACATCGGAGTGCCCTAGGCCTTGAACAAATCGTTGGTAGAGATCAGGGATTTGCTCAGCAGATTCATTGTCTACCGCAAGGACGATCCATCAAGTATTTCCAACAGAGTATGCCCAGCATGCGCTATCATTATTTCAAGGGGATTTTGCTATTGCACGGCGTGCGAATATGAGTTCATTTCCACCGGCAAGTTCATGATCCATGTGGATGACGACGAGCCCAAACCATCCGACGCCACCAATGTGACGGAGGAAGTGAAACAAGCTCAGCGAGAAGCAAAGGAAGATGCTGAGCGATTCGTCGCCGAAGAAGAACGACCCGACACCCATGAGATGAGCGCGGGACGGTCTGCAGGCAGATCGTACATCCCGTCGGATATCGGGACGGACATTGACGATGAAGATGCGGGAGTTTGTCCGTCTGCGTTGACGAAGCCGGCGAGGCATCATACCTCTCTGGATTCATTGGCATCGTGCTTTTCAAAGTGTGGAAGGTATTTGCCAACAACGAGGCAGATGTGGTCAAGGAGCCTGGCAAAGGTGGCGGACTATATTGTCCCCACATCGCGATCAACGGGAGGGACGATTGGATTTTCAAAGAAGTCGATGAACAGAACATTCCAATCCCGCCCACCTATGAAGAGGTCGCTGCCGCTCCTAAGTTCAGAAATGTGAGGTTCAAAAGCACGAACCACAGGGACGAAGAAATGCGCTTTTGGTTCCTGAAGCTGAGAGGGCTATACATCATGTATCGGATTTGGACCGCCTGCAATATGCTTGGTATCAGAGCAGTGTCAGCCACTAGAAGGACATTGCCTTCGTCAGCGACACGATATTCCGATGCATCGCCCTTGGCCTCAATTGCGACTACATGACCTTCTACCAAACAGATGTGAACATTGGACGCAAGTTCTTGAAACTTGAGCTTGGTGCAATCATTTGCATTCAAAGAGTAAGACACTCCTCTTATCCAATGGTGCTATTCTCGCAATATACATCTGCCCTCGCGCTTTATCGAGAAGATCAATCGGACCGAGGAGAGACCACATTCTCTGTTAGAAAGGTTCCGGTGGAGGGCGAGTAGAAAGGCCATCGCAGAATCATCACACTGGTGATCAAGCATTTTCTTTACGATTTCTTCCACGTGGGGGATCAACTGGAATTTGCATTTTTTACACAATGGGATCGTGATACTCATCGTGCATGGTATCATGGCCAGCCCTTGTGGTACTCGTCGTGCACGGTATTCTGGGCAAACCAAAAGTATTTGCATGAGACTTGCATTTGTCACCACAGAATGAGACTTGCATTTGTCACCACAAAATGTTCTCTTGTTTCCGTACAGTATCGTCATCGGCGACTACTATTTTGGAGATGCCAGGTATTTGGTGGTCAACGATTATTCGATGCTACATGGTTACAAATTGGTCATGGACTATGCTAGTCATGGATGTTCGTTTTCTGCAGACTGCTCTGGATCTGTACAATTACCTTACAGATAGCTTGCTGCATGTGCACCATTGCACATGAGATCCGGTGAGAGACCTGTAGCATTCTCATTTCATGTTAAGTTACAGAACCTGGTCAAACTCGTGCAGAGACGTTTCACAGAATTGAAAAAGAGAAGCAGTGCGTCCATGCGTGTCGGCATGCGTTTGTGATTGGTTCCCGACCCAGGGATGAACCTAAGCCCGGGATGGGGGATGCTAAGGATCCCCGAGCCAGAGGCTAAAACATCCTAACGGCAGGTTCTGAGAGTCGCCCTGTTACTTCCCCTTGTTTAAGGTCCTAAACCTTTGAGGGAATTGTGTTTTGTGCGCAGCCGACATGTACATGCGAATGCATCTGGCTCAAGACCTTGATAGTAGAATCGAGGCAAACATCCAACACACAGCTGTGAAGCAAAACAAAGGGTTCGTATTCCACGGTCGCATCGAGTCGTGAGACAGCGCAGATCATTTACCTCACAACCCCCGTTTACCACGACCACTACAAAACGACTCACCGTCGAGGGCATTGGTCACCCCACGGGAGTCGAACCCCAACTGCCTTGTCAGTTGACTACGTGGTTGACTCGCCTGCTGGCAAATTGAAACAGGGGACCGGGTGCCAATTCTGGAAAAACACAATTGTCTTAGTTTTTCGGAGGAAACATCTCTACAAAGGATCTCTGCGTTGTCACTGGTTTGTCCATCGCTAAATTTCCTTCAAGGTCCTTCAAGTCGCCCCGAAATTGGGGGTTGCCTCAAAGAAATCCACGCTAAAAACAAACACACCTTTCAATCCAGGGGTCTATTGATTTGGGGCCAACGTGAGCGGCTGAATGTTTTTTTCTGGGGTTCAAGCGGGTTCATTTAACCACCATTATTTACCCTTCAGGAATTTCGGAACATCCAAATTGGGTCAACCAAATTGCAATTCTTTTACATGGAGGCAAGGAGCCCTACTTGGACCAACGTAAGTAGGCTAGAACCATCGTGATAAGGGAACTCCCGTCTGGATTCGACACGCCCAGCAAAAGCACGCGACAAACAACAAATCAGCATTCCTGTGTGGTGCATATGCTAGTATGCTAGTATTGCTGGCAAAGAGTCGCCTTTTCGACTTTCTTGGCACGCTAGGTCTGGAGTCGTGGATCGCTCGAGAATTGTTTGATATTCCTAGCTAGTGGTTGGAAGGGACCAAAAAGCTGGGGGTGTTGTTATTTGCCTTTCAAGAGGGAGCTACAGATCCACCATGGTTTTGAGCTGGAAACAGCTGTATGTCTACACAAGGGCTCAAGCTCGGTTTGGCTATTTTTCGCGGTGACAGCGCTACAGTTTCTCTTCCTTTCGCTTCTTCTCGCTTTTGTGATGCAGATAATTCTGGGTTTTGCCGCTCTGGCCCTCGCGGCCGCAGAGGAAAGCTGGGAGATGATGCAGGAGCAAGTGATTACCAGCCTACAGTCCGAGGACTCGGTGGAACGCTTCATGGCGGCTTTGGATGAAGGCGGGGGTGTGGTTGCATTGGTTTGAAGGACACACCTCTGGTCTTTCAAGATCAGCAGCTCATTAGGAGTTTTACTCGGGTTCCCTTCAGTTTCAATGGAAACCAGCAAAAAGGGCAACCTTTGAGCAGCCAACCCGGTGACTTTTGTTAAACAACAAGTGCTGGAAATGAACAGTTGGTTGGCCGCGCACAACTTGAGGCGATGAGGAGTTGGAATTGGACTCCGCGGCCAGCTTGGCCCAGGACGCGGCGGAGTGGGGCGCTCCGACACAGAACTATGGCCACCAAGGAAGCTTGGCGCGGCTATTTGAATGTGTCTGAACATGGGCGGCCCCCAAAATGCATGGAATCCTGCTGGGTTCCCTTTGAACAAGCCGACAAGAGGGAACCTCAAAAAATGATACCCCCCCTTCTTCCTTGGAGAAAAATAGAGTTTGAAGCAGCTTTTCCCGTTGAACTACCAATTTGACGAGCAACCCAGGAAGTAGCTATGGCAATCCCTACGGCGGCGGCAGTCCGTATGGTGGCAATCCTTATGGCGGCAATCCCTACGGCAGCTATGGCAATCCCTACGGCAACAATCCCTACAGCAACAACCCTTATGGCGGCTTCAACGGGGTGCCCGGAGTGTGCAGCACCAAGATTGCCGGCTCCTCGTGCATGGTCTTCGGCTGCTCGAAGTCGCGTGGGCCGACGACCTGCAACACAGCGGACTACACCTGCTACTGCCAGGCCGGGCATTGCGCCACCGGGAACGGCTGCATCAAGAGCTGCGAGACCAAGATCGAGAGCTCCTCCTGCATGGTCTTCAACTGCGCGAGCTCCCGGGGCCCCACCACCTGCAACCGAAAGGACTACTCCTGCGAGTGCCAGCCCGGCTATTGCGCCAGAGGAGGCACCTGCGTCGCGCGATGAGCAGAGTCGGGGAGTCGCGGCAAGGCGGGCGGCAAGGGGCGCGCAAGGAAAGGGGGACGGACGGACGGTGGTTCGGCTGAATGCCATTGCTTTTGCCGCGCTGGTTGCAATTGTCTCCAGCCCGCGCAATGAGCAGAAGCCGAAGCAAACGTGACAAGAAAGTTTGGGATCCGCCGGAGGCCAGACGCAGCGCGGTTGGTTTGGTGAAATGGGGTGTGTTCTGGAAAATTGGCCGCCTCAGTAAATTTGAAAGAGCAAGGCTTGCCTCTTTGCAAGGTCACTTGGATTGTATGAATATGGGTGTGTCTTTTTTGGGAGGGTACCGCTCTTTGTGCTTTCTGAGGCGAAACCAACAGGATTTGTTGTTTGGCGCGCCCCCCACAGCTAGACAGACAGACACAGACACACACGCACACACACACACACACACATCATTGCTGTCATGACTAAATATACACATGACCCTTGGGTTTTGTCACATTGTCAGCCAAAAGTCACATCAAGAATGCCCACACTTGAGTTTCTCATTTGCAATCTTTTCGGCTGCAGCTTACAACGGTTGCCGCAGCACCATCCTGTGCTGGATTCGGTTCGCAGCCATGGGGAAGCAGCTTGGCCGGGTTAGGCTTGCTTTTGGTGTGCCTGCCTGGGTGGGTGGGTGGGTGGGTGCGAGCGTGCGTGCGTGCGTGCATGCGTGCGTGCGTGCGTGCGTGTGTGTGTGTGTGTGTGTGTGTGTGTGTGTGTGTGTGTGTGAGCGAGAGTGTGTGTGTGTGTGTGTGTGTGTGTGTGTGTGTGTGTGTGTGTGTGTGTGTGTGTGTGTGTGTGTGTGTGTGTGCGTGTGCGGGTGCGGGTGCGGGTGCGGGTGCGGGTGCGGGTGCGGGTGCGGGTGCGGGTGCGGGTGCGGGTGCGTTTTTTTTTTTTTTTGGGGCTGTTGGTGCGCACGTGCACTTGTGCCTTTTTTTCGTTAGGCGCGTGTGCGTGACGATCTGAACATGCACCACTGTCCTTGTCCTTCGCGTGAGCCAAGGAAGGGGAAGGGCAAAAAAGGCGGCAAGGACCGGCTCACCACTGAAAAGTCCAAGCGTCCGTCCAGGGCCTATCCACTGCCCTTTTGCTTTCTCAGCAGGCGCAGTTTGCAACCCAGGGCCGGGGCACTTTCCGATTGGCCAATGCACCAACTAGATCCAATCAGCATGTCCCATGCCACCTGCAAAAGCGGGTGTCCCAAAGTGTTTGGAGAGAAACCAAAAAGCAATTTTCAACAACCAACCACTTTCAATGTTCAACTAAACCATTTTCCCTTGGGGGGGGTTTTCATTTTCCATTGGGGGGGTGTGGGGTTGGGGGTAGGGTCATTTAACCTCGAGTCTTGACAGGAGGCGCTGGGCGTGCCGATGGCGCCCGGAGGTGAGGATTATCACATGCCCCTGTGGCTGCAGAGAAAGGGCGCCCGCGAAAGGTTGGTTTCGACACAGATCTTGCAGGGGTCATCATTTTGACGGTTTCTGGGGGTTATCAGCGTCAGAAATGGGGGTTGTTTCCCTTTAACCCGCCCTTAGAGGTGACTTTGACCATGGTAAAACAATGAGGCCGGTCTTGGGATGCGAATGCAAATGGGGGAAAAGACACACATGCGAGATGCGTGGTTTTGGTTTGCCGTGTTCACGCGCCGACTTTTTTGGTGAAGTGGCGATTTTTGTTGGTAGAAACGAGATGCGCGGTCAGTGACGAAGTCTAGCGGATGCCTTCTGCGGTGAGGTACCTCAGCATGCAGGCGGGATGTTGGGAGTGCGTGAGGTTTCGGTCAGCTTGAGAAAGAGACACTGGCTTGAAGCCAGAGCGCTTCTGAATCCAGATGTTTGTTTGAGCCCCTGGGTGGTGAATTTTAGTTGGGGACCCTTTGGAGGATCCACTTTTGGAGGTGGGTCCCCGTTAAAACTCGTGGCCCCTGGTCTTTGCAGGGTCGGTCCATGAATTGCCGATTTGTTCGCACACTTTTCTTTTTTCTTTCGGGCGAATAGGTCCTTCCGCTGCCCAATATTTCTAGGGGTAAGGGAGCCGTGACACGGCGCTCCTTTAGGTCTCCGAATATTTTGCCGTTTTAACGAGGGAGCTAAGGAGCCAGGAGTTCTTTACGGACATGGGAATGTAGACCCCGGATGAATAAGTGCCTGTTTATTCATATTGGGGGTGGAGGCCCCTCCAAAAGTGGTCTGAATCCCCGCTAAAACCAGAGACACCCCTGCAAGACTTAGAGACGCGACAGGGCAGCTTAATTTGCCCCCCCGCGCATGCACCACGGCGAGTTTCTCTGCATCCATATGAACAAACCGGGGTCAACATTAGCCCCGTGGCCTTTCCGGAGCCAAGAGAAAAGAAACCAGCTTGTCCGGGGCGGCGGGCAGCGAATCCCTAGGCTCACTGCCAGGGGTGAATAAGCGGCGCTGGAAAGGACTTCAGAATGATTTGTAAAGAAGTATTTAAACATGTAAAAAATCCATGAGCAACATGCGTGCTGACCATTACATGGCTATACATGTATCCATAATACCTTTTTTTGTTTTGTGGTCTGTGTATGAAAGGTCCTTTGAGTGCCGACTTTTGTTCACAGGCTGCCAACATCTTCGGGCAATCGTGTTGTGGGTTGCCTTGGCGGTTGGCGGGAAACGAAAAAGGACACCAAGAACCCAGGGCTCAATTCCTATGTTGGGTCGGTCACAGTTCCCTCTAAATTGGATGGTATCTATGATGCCTGCCTAAATTCCCTACATATCTGCGGGGTGGATGATCTTGATCAACCCCAAGAGGTGGTAGCACCTCTCATTAGCCACAACAGTTATCAAAATCGGGACCCCTTCAGGGTATTGTTTTCCGCAGTGGCAGACCTATATCAAGTGGCGCAGGTTGCAATTATAATTTACAACCCTCATGAAACATGGGGCTGATCGGCGGTTTGGGAAAAACGATATGGCAAGGATGTCTGAGCTTGTCACGGCGCACTGTATGGGTCTTTAGGGTATCCTTGTGGGGGTTGCTTTAGGAAAACCTTTTTTTTTTTAATTCTAAAGACACGTTGATATGGCCAATGAAGATGGATGTGATTCCCCTCCAGCACCAAACCACGAATTCAAGTACCACCCATTGCAAAACAAAACGATCGAAACCACCGAACCACCCCAAAAGGACACTTATTTCACCATGACTCAACAAGTGATGTATCAGCTTCTGTTGTTGGCATGTTTTTAGGCGTTTTCGATTGGTGAATACCACCATACGGTTGGACAGTTCCAAACCACCAATCCAAAGCTTCTCCTCTATTTTCAGAGACGCCCATTTCATACGACCACCCCGGCGAAAAAATCTTCAGGTGGAGACCTTGGAGCGGGAGCTACAGGTAAAATCCGCGCAGGCGGAAGAGGCGCCCACTTGCACCGCTTGGAGCCAGCGGGGCGGTGGGCATAGGTGTCCTTTGTGGTTGGTTTGCATAAAAAATCGAGGGCCCTGGTTTAGATGGGGTTTATGCCCCATTTAAATCCATTTGGCCGAAAGGCCACCTATGGCGGTGTTCGACATGTGCTTTTCCTGTGGGTAGACCGTAAACCCCGTTGCCCAGTGGTGCCATTTTTTTTTCAACTTTGTTTTGGGAAGGGTTCCGGATCCTTTAACGTCAAGCAACCAAAACAAACAAAAAAGGATGCCCTTTCATTCCCATAGCCACTGGGCATGTGAGTAGAATAGCTTTGAACAACCATCCGGGCCTTTTCCAATGAAGTCTTTTCCGTGAAATGTTCTATTTCAAGGCTGCATAGACTCCACAAGAAGCAGGTTGCAAAGTAGATTGCTAGCTGAGGTGGTAGAATGGCTGCAAAGGAATCGTATAATGATCAGGCTGAGAATCATAACTTGATACTGATCATGATGATGATGGTGGTGGTGGTGGTGGAGTGGTGGTGGTGGTGAGCAATGATGATGCTACTCCCAGTGGACAAAATTCCTCAGTTGCCCAAAGCCGACCTTTTAACCTTTTGGTTTTCCAGTTTTGGTCCATTTTTAGTCATGACTCCAAAAGGTTAACTTTTTATTTCTGGGTCCTTTGGGCAAGTGAGATTCTCATCATCAAGTGGTTTGGTGCATTCTTCCAAACATCGGGGCAAAGCGTCGCGGCCTGCCAGGCCAAATTCCGACTCCCCGATGTGGAATGACATCAGTCATTGGATTTCTTGGTTTCACAACAAGTGGCCCTAAACCAGTGAATCGAGGAGGCAGATGGGGGCAGGTGCCCCGTTTTTCGTTGAGCTGAAAATCCACCGAGCAAGTGGACAAACAACAGATAGAGACAGACCCATGTTCTGTCCAGTGGCAAGCTCGCTTGGGAGTAAAGCGAGTTGCGGTCCTTCACTTGACAAATCCACTCGCTGCTAGTCAGAGGACCCCCGTTAAAGTAGATCATTTCCTCACTAAAAAGGGGCTTGCCAGGCCTGAAAGTTGCTTTCGGTCGTCAACAGTTCGGAGGTAGCATATACCCTCCCACCAACTAACATGGAAGTGCAAACACGCCCTTTCCAAGAGGAAAGTAGTCTTTCTACAGGGGTCTGTGCACTTCCATGTTAGTTGGTGGGAGGGTATCATATGAAACTGGGCTGTTCTCTGAGGCAATCCTCAATCCACACCTTGCGCAACTTCAAGGATTTGGCCTAGAAACCCGTGGCTTTCCCCGCAAGAAACTAGAAACATAAAGAGAGAAAAAACAAAAAACCAACCAAAAACCCCACCATGCCCGCCCCGGGTTTGCGGCTTGCGGTCGACGCCGTAAAACGAACGAAGAGGCCCAGCGGTCTGAGCTGGAGCTGCGGTCCAGGGTGTGGGTGCCCGGTGGAGAAGAGGTGAGACACAGACCCTACGGTGGATTGACAAAATCCGAACCCGCACCAGTTGGAAACCATGAGAAACCACAATTTGTTGGTATTTACAGGGGAATCAACCCTAATGGAGATCTCAACCTGCAGCCTATGTGGTTCGGCCTTTACCATCTTTTTTTTCTTCTTCTTTTTGTTGAGCCCATGGGGAAGGGGAGAGGTTGAGGAGAACTATAGAGTTCGTCCTAGCCGCTGTTTTGCTTGTGTTGCCTTCATTTTGGGTTGCTGTATTATGGGTATGGGTGAAAGCGCCTGGAATTGGACCGCAGATGTCATTTGCCACGTCTCCATTTACTAAGGGTCCGTTTTGGGTACATGTTTGTGGCCCAAAGCCAAGAGCAAAGTCTACCTTGATTTGGTCAGAAAGTGGAACCCTGAAGCATTCTTCTTTTTTGTTGGCCTTAGACATCTAAGGAGTCTTGGTTTGCCCAATTTTGACCCAGGGGTATTTGCTGGTTCTCAGCAGGGGGTAAGCATGGTTTCCTTTAAGGGAGTCCCTAGGTTCATTCCCAGCACCTTGGGTCATTCCGTACTGCGGAACGAGAACCACCGCAACCAGAGATGGGTGCCTTCTCCCTCTTACGTAACAGGGTGGACCATTTGAGTACCAGGTTTTGATCATGACTCAAGTGGTGCGCGCTCGTTCCCTGCCTCTGCTTGGACCAAAGGCGGTTCTTTTTCACATCACAAGCTTGGCCGGCGCTTTTGGGCGGTTTCCGTTGAAACCGCCAATGCAATTCCCTTGTGCATTTTGTTTTTGCATTTTTTCGGGATGTTGCTTTTTTTTTGGTCGGCAGCCGTTTGGCTCGAGATTCTTCCGGCGTGACGTCCGCGCCGACCCAAGATGGAGCGCCAACGAAAGAAGTCCGCGGCGGGCTGAGCGGAGGGTCCAAAAGCCAATTCGGTTGACCTTTTCCAATTGGCACTTCAGGTGCCCAAAGCTGACCTTTGGACCTTTTGATTTTCCCATGTTGGTCCATGTTTAGTACAGGTGCCAAAAGGTTAATCTTTATTTCTGGGTCCCTTGGGCAAGTAAGGCACCGTTTTCAGGTTGGTTCGGTGGGAGGCGAGGAGGAAAGCCGCCGAGCCGCCGTTTCGGTTTTGGCGGGTCCAGATCCCGGTTTCGACGCACACAGTGCTGCTGGGTTTAGGGAAGCATCCCCGGAAGGCCCGCCGTGCCGGGGTGCTGGTGCTTGCGGCTCTCGCCCTCGGGGTGACAAGGAGCAGCAGTTGCATGCAGGGTTCCACTTTTTGACTACCCCAAAATAGACTTAACCCCAGAAATGGTTCCTTCCACCCAAAAGGGGATTTGTCGGGGAGAGAGAGAGAGAGAGAGAGAGCGAGAGCAGCCACTCACTATCAAGCTGGCACGCAATCTGGGCGTGTGAGAAACACATGATCACTTCTAGCTGTTCTTCCCCCATTCCTTTCATTCAGAAAAAGGCAAAACCCTAAGAAATTTCGGTTGTTTCTCAAATGAATGGTTCACATTCTTAACGACTTGAGAAATCAGGGCCTTTCACTTGTGAAACTGAGTGGTCGCAGGACCTTCATGGTGCCACCGGCGCAGCGCGCGCCGCCGGCGCGGTATGGGGGGAACCACCCTCAACATTTAGATGTTCCCTTTGACATGGTTGGGATTTCTTTGGCCACACTTAAGTGTCCAACCAAACGAAACTCCCACATTAGGTCTGAGGAAATGGACGCCCATGCAAGATGCCAAAAAATGCAAAGGATGGCTAGGTTGGGAACATCGCCCAATGGAGGCTTGGATGGTGCTCAAATTTGACCCAGCCGTCTCCCTGTCCTTGACATGTCTAAGTCTACGTTGTTTGTGCCATCTTTCGCGCTTTTTTCTGGGCCCGTGGGTAGTAGTGTTTCAAGAAGCTAGGGGTATCCAAATTTGCCTTTGAAGAAGCAATCAGGAGTTCTGTAAGGACATGGCAGAACGTATGGCCCGTCACAAATTCGTTTTGCTCTTGGGGCTATGCCAGTCTTGTCCCAATGTCGCAATCGGGCATTGCGACAGGCTTCGGAGACGTGCCCGTTGGCCGGCATGCTGCCAGCAGAGCGGGAGGAGCCCAAGACAACGCGGCGCGTGCTTTGGACATCAAATGGGTGAGCATTCGGAAGAGACAACCAAAACCCGGGCAAGTCGAGGTTAGTAAAGGACAATCCCAACCAGAAATGGTTACTTGGGTGCGGCCGCCTTCTGAATCCTTTGCATGGTTCTGGGTTAACCATGTTTGTACCGGGTTTTGATTATGACTTGTTTGGAAGAGACATAGGGGGCAATCCGTGTATATTCGACGAAGACCAGGCGACTCTGCAACCTATGCATAGCAGACTTTGCGCGTAGGACGCATGGCCATGTGTCAAGCCTGGAATTCTTTTGGGTGCATGCCCAAACTCGAGGACGGCCCAGAATGGGCACTTTCCCCTTTGGTAGCCCTTGAACACAATTTCGAAACGAGCTGCTTCTGGACTGACCTTGTTGGGAACCTCCACGACGTCTACGATTCGAAGTGGTTGTGTTGGAACCAACAGCTGAAAGCTATCGATAGGACTCAAATCAGCTTTCGGGCAGTTTGGGGAAGCTTTCAGGGAGGGTTCGAGGAAATTCCGGGGCTGGGGATACCACCTGGGCGTATGTTTGGCATTTTCTTTGGTGGAGCCGGGGTTTAACACCTCAAAGAGCTTATGACTTTGGATTGAGACCACCCTGGTTGCGCATAAGTCCCCATGCAAAGGATGTCTACCAAAGCGCCCCTAGTGAAAGTTTATGCCAAAATGATCAAACCCCATACCCCCTTCTGGTTCCTGCCCGCCCCCCTCCCCCCAAAACAAAACCGAAGAAGAAGAAAAGAAAACAAAGCCTTTATAAATCCACGGCCTTATCTGGAAGAATCTGGGCAAGGGTGGGGCGAAGGGAGGATTGGATCCTATTGCTGAGGTCATTGGCTGAACCATCGGAACTCTGGCTAATCTGATTGGATTTGCTGCAGGACAAACTGCCGCTCGGCTGGATTGGGCTGCAGCTTCTGTGACGGTTCTTTGGGCGGCGTTTCCATGGAACATTTTAGGGGGGACATTAGTAGCAAGACAATTGTCTTAAATACGCCATTCAACAGTTTATGCGTTGTGTTGTGACTTTTTGTGTGCATCTTTGCTGTCATTCAAAGAAAGGTTTCCTGTCCCAAAAGGTCTCGCGCCGGTGCGCGCCTCGCACATTGCCCAGGACGATACCACGGGCTGCGGCGTGTGGGGGTTCCTGCGGATTTGCCGCAAGGCCTGCGCTGGAGGTTTCAGGTCTTCGATGGTGCCCGGGAGGTTCGGTGCAACCATAGGTCTCCTTTTTGGTTGGTTTGCTTAAAAAGTAGAGGGCGACTCCTGGTTTGGATGGGGTTTATGCCCCATTCACCAGGGAAACCCATCTCTTTTCCAAAAGGCCACCTGTGTGGGTCCGAGCATTGCTTCTCCCGGCCAGGATGGCGAGATCGCCTTCGGCAATGACTGTGAGCCGACTGCGCCTGCCAAGTCGCGGTAGGCTTGCGGCCTTTGGATGCCGCACAAACTTATGTGTCCTTTGAGGAGGATGCTCGTTTTTCGGTACTTCTTTTTCTCCCTCCCCGGGTGGTTTAAGGGGAAGCTCCCGGATTTTGAGAGACAGACCTGAGTCTAACTAGTTATGTACGACCTTAGACGGGAGTACACGCCGTTGTCTGGCTTCAAAAGGGCTGGTTGGCCTCACGTGATCTTTTCTGGCCTTTTTTTTTTGGCCGCCGCTTTTCCAAAGTTTTCGCGTCCGGGGGTTGGTGCTGGTGAACAAAGCCTGAGGAGCTGGCATCATCACCCCAAGCAGAGGAAGTGGTGCTTCTCTGTGTCACGCCCGTAGGTGGCCTTTTGAAAAAAACTGATGGGTTTGCCTGGTAAATGGAACAACACCCAGCTAAACCAGTGGAACCCGTCTATTTTTAGCCAGGCTCACCTACAAAGGACACCTATGGTCACGCCTGATTCTATCGGCACTTGACGGCTGCCGCTGGTGAGGCACGCCGGAATCCGGGGCTAGCCCAGGGAACCTTTGCTACAGAGCCTTTTTCATTGAAGTGCACAGATGGAGTTTAGAAGACTACAGTCATTTTGAATGGGCGATCCACATTTTGGAAAGAGCGTTTGGGCAGCTTCGCCCCGAGAAAGCGTGTGCTGAGTGCGGAAGCCGCCTCGTGCCGATCGAATCCTTTAGGCATTTTCCCAGGCGAAAAGCGTCTGCTTTTCAGGAAGAATATGATGATGCAGCCCGCGTTTCCAATGGGGTTACGGTGGATGGCCAGGGAACTTTGTTCATTGTCATTGTTATAACTTTGCTGCGAGCGAGGCTCATTTTACAGCGGATTCTTCACTTCTGGGGGCAGATGCGTTGCTAATCGATTGGTTTCGGTCTGAGGTTGCATGAGATCGACATCAAAAGGAACAACTCGCGAGGAACGTCATCTTGAGTTGCTTATTTGCAGTGCTTGCTCAGGGACTCTGCGGCTTCTCACTTTTTGGGTTTTCGAGCCTCGAGGGAATGAAGCCGGAAAGTTGGTATGGGGTCCTTTTGCTTATCCAGAACCAACCGAAAAGAGGCGTCCGTGAAGGGTCTTTGGGAAACTCGAAACCACGCATCAGAGAGCACGTCCCGTTGCCACATTTGCCACGAGCTCTTTGATTCCTTGGTTTCATGCTGGTTTTCCGCAGGGAATGAGAAATCTGTAAACCATCTAGCCTATAGTTCCTCGGTCATTCGCTACCAATAGCACCAGCAAGTTTTGGGGGTTGCTGAAATGGTCGGCGGTTTCCCGTTAGCTTCCTTTCAACCCACTCGCAGAAACGGAGGTGAAAGAGCCAAAATCAGCCAGCTTTTCGGGCAGGTGAGGAAGTCTCCCAACTGGTTAAGCCCCCCCCCCCCCAAAAAAAAAAAAAAAAAAACAACAACAGAACAGAAAAAGAGAATAACAAGCAAAGCAAAAAAACACAAACAAACAACACATCCCCAAGCCGTCCAAGCCCAACAAGAAGGCCAGGCCAGTCCTCACCGGTCGATTCTTGGGCGACCCGAGGTGGAGCAGCCGTAGCCTTAGGGGGGGGTGGAACTGGGCGGAGGCGTCAGCTGGGCCATGTCTATGACTTGGGATGTTGGTGACAGCTTTTAAGCCTTTTAGTGTTTGGTGGGGATTTCCATTTAACCCACTAAAAGTTAACTTTTAGCAGGGGATCTGAAGACAGCCCAGACACGATCTCGTGGTGAGTATGACCCGGGTCTTTTCTCCTGACTACATTAAACATACTACACGCGTCCGGCGACGCCAGCTTGCGCATGATGAGCATACACGGCCAACGACCTATGTGCGATAGTGTGCCCCCTCCTGCGCATGACGTCCGCGCTGTTTGTCTTAAAATGCCTTGCTACATGGTGCCATGCTGGGGCACTCGCCCGCCCATGTTCTGCTTCGCCAATCCAACCTATGACCAGTTTCTTGCTCCGCGTGCCTTTCTTTGTGGCTTGTTGCACGACTATTTTTTGGCTCTGAGGGCGTGCCAGACGCAAGGCGTGAGAAGTACGAGGCATGTTTTAAACGAGATGCGCACATGTGGGCTTTGTTTCCCGAATGGCTGCGATGGGCCGATGGCTCTATGGACATGCTTCGGATTCCACGATGGAAGCCGACATGATTTCTCAACTTGGGGGTAAGAGAAACCCCTGTGTCAATGGACCGCCAAGGATGGAGGATGACTTCAAGCAGGAGCTGAGAAAGTCTTGCCATTGCATAAAAGTGCAAGCCTGCACTTTTGCCCAAATCCATGCGGTCCGTTTCTGTGGCAGGAGCAGAATACGACCTATGCCGTAACAGCGGACATGGCGCGTCAGTACAAGGCGGCATTGCTCTCACATGAGTGCAACAGGCATTCTTTTTGTTGGGGAGCTCACCGATCGGGATGAAAATCCGCAGCTTGGTGAATGATCGTAAGTGCATACATTCATGCATTGAGACAGAAATCACCCTTTGACTTTTGAGTTTCTTATCTGCTGCTGTGGGCGCTGTGCTTGGGCACTTGTCAAGACAAGTGGCTGTTCACCTTTTTCTCGGCTGTGTTTAAGGAAAACCGAGGGCAACTTCGTGTGTTTTGGGGGTTCCCCCATTCTGAGCCCGAGGCGTTTGTCCGGACTGGCCGCGATGGTCGCTAAGCATTTCTTTGCGCGGCGCCAGGCGTTGCAGGAGGAGTTGATCTACAAAATCAACTCCCTGGAGCGGGTTTCTTCACTGTTCTTTTTTTTTGTGGTTGTTCTTGTTCTAGAGGCTTCCAAGTGTTTTTTGTTTTTTGTTTTTTTGTTGTTCAAGAGGCTTTCAAGGATTTGGAAAGCTTCTCACACTGTCACAGCTTGAGGACAGAGCATGTTTGCTCGGCGGTTGGTCCGCATGCTTTGCGCCCGTACGTTTCAAACAAGAACACTCGCACACACACACACAATTCAGAAACTGGTGTTTGGGGCCATTTTCTGAAAAGAAAGCCGTGAGCCGAGTTGGGGCGGGTGCCTGTCTATTTTGGTCTTTTCATCGCGGTCTGTCGCAACGTCAGGGCACCCCTAACACGGTGATGTTCCTTTCAGTTTCCCTTTAACGCCAACCAAAAGGAAGGTTCCCCAAGAAAAGACGGGGGTCGGCGTTTTTCCTCGGAACCTTTTCGCAGGAGATCCAGCTGACGGAGCAGAAAGAGGAGCTAGATATCACCAACCACGAGCTGAAGGATCGGGGCTTTTCGAGACACGGGCGAGGCGGCGATCTGGCGATATCTTTGTTTTGAACAGGTGCTTTTTTTTTGGGGGGGGAGGGGTGGCGGTTCTCAAGGGAACCGGTAGAAGTTTTTTATCTTTATTTTTTGGGGGGGGCGGTTCCAAAGGGAACCGGTAGAAACCTCACCCGTTTTGGGTGGGTTTTCTCTCAAAGGAAGACAAGGTTATTGGGAATGTGTCAAGATCAGGGGGCGAATAGCTTCAAGTTTCAGGTTTTCCTTTGTGGGGCGTTTGGCTTTACGATGTGCGCACAAGTTAGGAGCTTGACAGTGAACCTGATGCACCTCTCTTTGTGTTGGCCTCCCTTTCGGGTCTCAGAGGTTTGGCCCAAGAGTGTTTCAATGAACAGGCGGTGGCATTTTTCCTGGAACGCTGTGTTCTGTGAACAGTCCATATGCTCACAGGCTTTTCTCCTGCCAGCTTGCGACTTCTCTTGCGGGCGTTCTTGAGGTTTTTAAGGCTTCCTGTAAGCCTTTGAGGTGTCGCTTGGGAAAACGCAAAGGCCATGGCAAGGTTGACCCTCTTTTGGCAACCCCTTTGCAATGAGGCACAACAATCTCTACCGCTATTGGGTTAGATCTTTCGACTTTAACTTTTGGATTCCCTTCATGCTTCCTTTTAACCAGCAAGAAGTTAAACTTTTTGCTGGGGGATCTACAGCACTCAAGCTGCTTTTCCCACTGGTGCTTGGCCCTCCGGGAATCATTTTTCAAGATGCGAGAGAGGGCCTGCAGGCTTTCCCGCGCTGGGTGGTCTGGTCGACGTGGTTTAAGCTTTCGGCCCGCACCAGCTGGTCGTTCTCCCGTTCCTTAGTTAGCAGCGCCTCCGCAAAAATTGAGTCAACCTTGCACACCTCAAGGGAGCACAAAACGCGGCCATCTAAACAATTGGCTTTTAAGCATGGTGCTGTGTTTTTTTGAGGGTAATGTGATCTTCGGATTGATCTGGAGGACCCTACTACTCAGAGGAACCCGCAAAGGTAAGTACGGTCCTGCGGATTAATCCGAAGTCACATTACCCTTGCGCAGAAGTGTTCTAAGGGGAAAGCAAGAGGGAGCTCCCACCCATTTTGGGCGCCCCTCTTGCTACACCTTCTCGCATGTTGTAGCAATGGGGTGGGCCGCGGCTTGCGGGAGATGCCGAGTTCTTGATCGCAGGAGCTGACCAAAGACAAGGCCGGAGCTCCGAAGTCAGGTACGGTCTGCGGTTAAATCAGGGCTCCTTCAGTCTCCCGTTTTTTGGACTCCAAAAGTTGGAATTCACCAGCCAGCTGCAGCTTTTGAAGGGTCCTTTGTAAGTCCCCACTCACTTGATTTGTTGGCGTGATTTTTGTTCGGGGTCCCGAAGCCTGTCGACAAGGTCGGGATTCGTGTCCATCAGGTTTAGGGGGGTTTGACAGACCCCTGAAGGGAGGAGTGACCCATGGAAATTCCATTCCGACTGGCAGAATGGGACAATTGGCAATCCAGTGGCTTTCTCCCTGAGAACTTGACAGGACGCCGACATCGAAAACAAGGATCAGCAGATCAAGAGCCTTGCCTCAAATGGACGCGGGCGAAATTCGTGGGGTTGCATGGGGTTCTCCTGGCGGACATGGATGCCACATCTATTGCGAGCTCACCTGGTGAAACAGGCCCAGCCGTGATGAAGGTTCAATGGCGGAGCGCTTCTCACGCAGTGCCATGTTGGACTTCCTTGGAGGGAACCTCCAAATGGACGGCTTCCCTCTGATTTCTCTTCACATCAACCTCAAAAGGGTACCCTCAAAAAAGGGACATGCCACAGCAACCTATTTTCCTTCTCAGTACTTGGATTTTCCGGGTCCCAGATGGTTCCTTTTGTCGTTTCTCGACGCTGGCGCGGGGTCGTCCTACAAGTGGGGAACCCCTTCCGGTGCTTACCCAAAGGGGAAATGTCGTCACATGGGACGCGCTGCGCCTCTCATCCAATCTCAACTTGCTGGTGCTCAATAGGGAATGACCCAGCTTGTCGGGAATGAATCGTTTGGGGATTCTAAAAAAAAAGAGAGGAACACCTAAAGCATGTTTTGCCATTTTTGTTTTGCGGGGTCATTCCATTTCTCACTCCCTGCACCAGCAATCTAACTTTGGAGGCAGCTAATGCTTGGCCCCACGCTCCGAGGCAGCTCAACGAGCGCATGAACGACATGTCGGCGGAGTTCGCCAGCATGCTGGCCGAGACGCTGGACCTGCTGGGTCGCTGAGTTCCCGTGCGGGCGTCCCGAACAATAAGCGTAGCGTCTTTTTGAGTTTAAGGATGGAGTCAAACGGAGCTCTGAAAGCAGGAAGTGTTTTTGCCCGTTAGGGGAACTTGCTCCACCAGCTTTGGGCTCGATTGATTCTCTTGGGGCTTTGATGTTGTGTTTTCCTGAGCTTCCATCTCGTGTATTCCAAACCCTGTTTGTCCTGGACAGAGACCCCCAAGGAGCCATGTCAGCTGCCCCAAACCCAGCGGGCCCCCGACAAATGCGCACGCAGGATCTCATGAAGCTGCACATCAACGAGAAGCTCTCGGATGCAGCGCTAGGCGATGTCGCGAAAGCTGGCCCATGGGACCCCCCAAATGATCCCCACCCCTTTAAATATGGAATCGGGGGAGGGGGGTGACCCCCTTCCATTTATGGTTCCATTTCCTTTGTAAGGGGAAGACTAGACAACTGGAATTGGGAACCCCCCACCTCGCCCTTACGGTAAGGATCTTAAATGGCTGGGTTCCTGTTGCTTTCCTGCGTTCCCATGAGAATCAACCAAGAGGAGGTTCCATACAAAAAGAGAGACAGCAGAAGGAGGCCTTTCCATGACTCTTCTGCGGGTCAGGGGTATTTTATCACATTGCCCCTGACCTAGGGAACCAGGGCGGCGCGAAGAAATCGCCACCACTTAAAAAGGGCTTAGTAAGGCCTTAGTTGTGGGAATCCTAGGATGGTCACGGGCATGTGTCAACCCGAGGCCCTGTTGGGCGCGGTCTTGTGTGCCTGGTCTTAAAGGAACACGATCGCCACTGTGGCTTCCAGATTTCGAAGCTTGGTGCGCTTCAGGTTGTGTGTTTATTGAGGGTACCCTTACGGGAAGCCCAAGCGAAGCCTCCATTTTAGGGGTTCCCCCTGTTTGGGTAGTTGACCCTTGTTGTGGTGGAAAGGGAAGCCAAAAGGACACTTCTCACATGGGTATGGGCCAACGTCAAACCACCAAATAACCGCAGATTTAGTCCTTGGTTCCATTTACCAGGGTTCTATTTTGGGTACTCATTTATGACCGTTCGGCTTGCAGCTTTTTCCCTCTGGTGCGCTTTCCAGGGGATGCCGATGCCTCGAGACCGGACTTCACCCAGCGGTTACAGGACCCGTTTCTTGGGCGTTCAACACGCGGGTGTTTGGCCAGGTTTCCGGCGAAGAGGTGCCGTTGAGCGAGTCAATTTTCAACAAATCTTCGTTTTAACATCCTTAGGATAAGTGGTTGCGGCTTTGGTTTTCAGGCCGTTTGCTTTGCAAGCTAAACTGCGCTACTGCGTCTGTTGCGCCGAGTAGCACTGAAATCTGTAATTCCAAGCTCCATATCGTGGAACTGGACCGGCCGTCCTATCAGGAAACCAACTTGGTGGTTGTAATTGGCGGTTTGGATTTGGATTTGAACTGCTTCTGTTCAAACGTATTCTGGGAAACCCACCGACCACCTCCAAGCCAATCCAGAATCCAGGGAGGCCGATTATTTGTGGGGAGGGTGGGGCCTTTTTTTTGTTGGGTCCGTGGATCCCGACCTAAACCTCATGAGGGGCGGGCGCCAAAAGCTCAGCCCTGGGTTTTGTTTGGTATCGCTTCGCCGTTGTTGGATCTTTTTTTTTTTTTTTGGTGGGTGTGGCGGGCTTTCAGAAGGACAGTTTGTTGCTACCGTACAACGGGTGGAAAGATTGTCCGTGTGAGAGGTGAGCAGATGCAAGGCAATGTTTCTCACTTCCGCCCCATTTTTTTTTGAATGCCCTCTGCGTTCGGAAGAAAAAAACCGGCATCAGCCAGACAAGGCGCGAAAGAAACTTAGACATGGTTAAATCCTCTTGAAGTGGCAACATCCTCTTAAAGTTATGGAACCCAAGCTGGTCAACCCACAAGAAGGCTCCGTGGCCAATTAATTTTTTGTTGGTTTTGTTTTGAGTGTACGCTTTTTGGGGCAGGGTTTAAGGAAAACCACCAAGAAACCCGTTGTTCTGAGGTCCAAATCCGGATTTGGCATGACCCCCTTTGCTTGCCAACTTGCCTTCCTTGCGCAGGACTTCAGCAACAAGGCCTACAACGCGGTGGCCATCAGCTCCAAGAGCGACGGCCACAAGGCTCGCCCGCTCGCCCCATGCCGTTGCGGGTGGTTTTTTTTGGTGAAGCCTCGAAAGATAAGCTCAGTTGCCCAAAGCCGACCTTTTAACCTTTGGGTTTTCCAGTTTTGGTACCCATTTTTAGTCATGACCCCAAAAGGTTAACCTTTTATTTCTGGGTCCTTTGGGCAAGTGAGTAAGCGGTTTTTCCTGGGCCTCCCATCAAGGCAATCCAAAAGGGCCCCGTCCTAAGCGACACCCAGTGAGTGTGTCGTTTCGGGCAACCTTGTTCTCAGGGATCCCTCAGCTTGATTTTGTTTTCGGACCTCAGGAAGTGCAGCTTCAATGCAGCCACCAGTGAATATCAACTATAGATGAGGATCCAGCAATCCTCTGTTTTGGGGTCGGCTTTTGGGACATCGAAAGGAATCGCCCATTGTGGGGAGCAAGGCGCCTGGGTTTGACTCATGGGACCTCAAGAGGGCACACCTTTTTGATGGGTGGATTTTCTTTTTGGAAGCCAGAAGGATTGTCTAAGGGAAGCTGGGCAGGTTTCAAGGAAACATAATATCTCCAAAGCTTTGGTCGAACTACTCTTCTTTGCAAAGTTTTTACTTTCACATCAATGAATGGTTTAACTATTCCAAACTATATTGTACTTTCACATCAATCTTCTTGCACAGTTTTTTGGAGGAGGTCATCAACAAGGTACCTGACAGGCACCGCCGACCGCCCCGCTCGCCTCAAAAAGCCATGCCATGGGGGCGGGAACGGTCCACGGAACTGGAAAACTTGGAGAAGCCCTCTGTTTACGGAACCATGTGGCTGTGGTTCCCTTTTTGAGGTTACCTGTTACCCATCTTGGGGCTGTTTTTGGAAGGGAAGCCCAAGAATCGGTGTCATAGGTGTCCTTTTTGTTTTTTTTGCTAGAAAAATAGGCCGGGCGATTCCTGGCTTACCTGGTGGTTTCATCTACCAGGGAAGCCCATCTATTTCCCCTAAAAGGACACCTATGACCGTTGGCATTTTTCGAGGTTCCGATTTCCATTTGGAGACGTGTCCATGTTGGCCTCCAGAAGGGGAGGCCACTGCGATCGATCGCTAGGCGCTGCCACCCAGCGATGCTTGAGGCTCGGATCGGAGAGTCGTTTTTTTCTTTTCATTCTTTTTTTCTTCTTTGTTTTTCTATATCTCTCTCTCTCTCTCTCTCTCTCTCTCTCCCGGGCGGTATGCGTCGAAGTTTTTGGCTCACGTTGAAACGGACGCCTTGAGACAAAATCAAGGCAGGGGCTGGTTTAGGGTTGGCTTAGGGCTGCCTACAGCGCGATGTTCTTCCATGCCTTTGCAGCTATTTTCCGTATGAAATCTTTTGTTGCCCTCAAAACGCCCGACCACATCAGTGCTTAAGTTCTTGTTCGCTGCTTGCTCCTGGGGCAAAACTGCAGCTGGCGCAGGCCTCTCATTTGGTGCGTGACTGCGAGAACCGGAGGCGTTTCACCAACTGCAAATAGTGCAGGACTGATGGCTAGTCGGCCAGTCGCTAGACAAGGTGCGCGCTGGAGCTTCCTGGAGCTTCACGAGTGTAGGCAAGGGAAGTGGGTTCGGTGCAAACCTCGCACGGGTGGTTTCTTCCTGGTTTCCCTTCGAAACCTCAGAAAGGACTTGAGACCGACGTCCCTCAAGTGCTGTTGACTGAGCTGGACAGTAGCCCATGGGAGGCATGCGCTGGGACGCGCATCGCTCGCCCGCTGCAGGCACCGATTTGAAAGACGCTAGGCAAGTCATGCACCAGGCGAGAGATCTCGGCCTACAGCGCGTGGCCGGACATGGCACGGATTGTGTTTGGGGACTTTTTGGGGGTTTTTGCTCAAAACAACCAAACAAACGACTCGTTTGTAACGGCTCACCGGCGCTTGCCACTAAACGGCCGTTCGGCCGAGAGTGCCCTGCGGATCTTGCCTCATGTCGACGCATGCGCCGGCACCGCCGCTGCCCTCGGGGGAGCCCAAAACGCTGGACCCGCAGAAGCTGGAGGGAGAGGTGTGGGAAAAGGAGAGTTGGGGTAGAGGAACCTCAGCGATGATGGACTTATTATTGTGATGGCCTGTGTCCGGTGGCTGGTGACGGCAATGTGTCTATAGATTTCGAGGCTCAAGAAGCATAACAAGGCCCAATTCACCAATCCTGAGCCGCTAAAGTTGCCCATCACCTGTTACCTAACGCGCAGAAACCCAAAAAGGCCAAACACAGGGGCAGAAAGAACCACTTGAAAACCATGATTTCCATCAGGGTCCAAATGAAACGCACACATGTGTGCCAGTTAAAGGGAAAAAAACACATACCAGCTGAATCAAAGGATTGCCTTAAGGTGGATGGATGTATCCTTCCCTTTGCTCAGTCTTTTTTTCTTCGTTTCTTCCCTTGTTGATTTTATAGTTTCAAACCATCAGGAACGGACCTTTCACTAGAGCTGCTCCGAGGCCAGTTCAATTTGAACCCCTGAGGAGAAAAAACGAAAGACAAAGCTCAAAGCAAGCAGAGACACGGCACGCAAAAGGATGCCCTTGAAGCTTGAACAGGCCAAAGGCAACAAGCAAGCGACATCAAGCACTTAGCGAATCAAACAAATGAAGCCCGGGCAAACACTGCTAGCAGAATAGGTGCGACAAGCACCCAAACAGCAACCAACCGAGAACAAAGCAACAAATTCTTTTGAACACACACCAACACACACACACACACATATATATATATATATATAAACATCTGTATATATATATATAGATATAGATATTGTATATTTATGTATTTAGCTCCCCCCTCAAAACAAAATACACACCAAGAAAAACAAACAACAAAACATAGTTAATAATTTTATTCTTGGTTTCCCAACTCCAAAAAAGGACAGACCCACCCCCCATCTTCCTATTTCTTGCTGGTGCTCAGCAGGGATGTCGGAGTAACCCTTCCAAACCATCCATATGGTTTTTTCCTATGTTCAGGACTCCCCAAAGCGGTCCATTCCCACATCCCCTACAAGCCTTCTCCCCATTTGCCCATTTTACGTAGCCACCCACCTTAAACAAAAAGCACCCGACGAATGGAAGGAGCGCAAACGCGCCCGACAAAATACCCTCTTAAACAAAAGTACCCGACGAAAGCCCAAACGAGCCCGAAGAAAAACCGAAGACCCTTTCAAAAACGGTACCTGACAAGTGGAAGGAGCCCGAAAATTCCCCTTCCAGCCCCCCCCCCATCCCGCCTCCCACCCCCGCTCACCCATGTCTGCCGGCCCAAGATCCTGCGCAGCGACCCCCACCCAGCCGGTGGCTGCGTCGCTCGTTCGCTCGCCAGAGCTTCTGGGAGCTCCACCGGCGCCTGGGGGAGGCCTACGAAGCGGAGCTGGCGAGGCGAAGGCGGCGCGGTGGAGCGCCGAGACGTCGACGCCGATGCCGGCGGTTTGTGGATGCCACCCGGGAGACAAAAGGGGAGAGGACGAGTTTCTTTTTCTTCTTTTTTTCTCTTTGTCTGGTTAAGTGGGGGGTATGGGGGTATGGGGGTATGAGGGGTTTTCCACTTCTCTTATTTGAGATGGTCGCGAGACCAAGTTGACTAGACCCCTGCCTATGCGACACGTTAACAAGTTGATCAACTGTTGGATTTGTCCAGTGACTCCTGGAAAAGGGCAACTACAACTTGTGTGCTTTTTTGAGGCGGTCCTTGCGAAACGAAGAAGGTTAGAGGCTGTCCCAGCCAGAAATCGGCGCGGCTGCCTCATGAATTCCTTCCCTGGATTCGGGTAGACTCTAACCACCAGGTTTTGATTGTGATTCAATTGGCGGTATCTTTTCGTGAGTTGCCCCTTATTGGGAAACCAACCGGAACACCGTTTTGCAATTTTGGTGGGTCCCCTAAAGGAGGTTTTTGGAGGGAGTAATGACATAGGAGCCTGGTTGCGGCCCAGGGTACATAGAAATTCATGTTTTCTGACTAGTTTCATACCGAGTACCCTAGCGTGCGGGTAAAATGGATCTTCTTTGGGTTCCTTAGGGGTAAAGACAATTTCTTTTTCCACAAATAAAAGACAACTCAAATCGGCTAGCTCGGTACAAACGCGCAACAAGCCCAGTGTAGCTGGCCAAGAAAGGGAGGAAGGTCCTCCATTTTTTTTTCGGGATCCCAAGCTCGGAAATCGGGGAGGGGCGTGAGAGTTCTTGGGGAACCGAGGGGCCATGACCGAGAGCCTAAGTAGAACCTCGAAATGGCCCGCGGGAAAACGTGAGGATTCAGTTTTCTCCACCAAATGACCGTCCGAAACGGTTCGTTCCCGATTTCCTTCTGCTTTGCCGGCTGGTGTCGGCCTCGGATTAAAACGCCTTGCAGATGAAATGGGGGGGTTGCCCTCAAAGGGATCAGGCTTTTCTCTCTCTCTCTCTCTCTCTCTCTCTCTCTCTCTCTCTCTTTGGCAACGGGTTGCCTCCGTATGAATCACCCCCGCAAATGACCCAACAAAAAAACAAGCTTAGGGGAGGCTGCCCGACAGGGGCGGTGCTGCAGAGCAAGAGAGAGAGAGGGAGAGAGTTGAGTGCCGCGTTGGGAAGCTCAAGAAAGAAAGAAAGAAAAGAAAGAAAGAAAGAAAGAAAGAAAGAAAGAAAGAAAGAGAGAGAGAGAACGCCAAAAGGGTATGTCAATTTTTGAGGGGGGCTTGGCTTAGGGAAATATAGGGACACCCGCCCGACGCCGCCGACGCGGCCGCAGCCGTCGCAGCGCAGGCTGCGTCGCTCGAGCGCCCCGACTCGTCCTCGGAGCTCCTCCCGTCCCACGGCTGCCCGCCTTGCGCCGTCGCGGGCCCCGAGCTTGCCCACGAAGATTCAGAGCAAGGACGCCTGGGTGCTCGGTGGCCAAAATAAATCAAGAAAAACGCAGAAGGACACCAAAGGGAGAGGGGTAACACAGGGATTTTTTTGTTTTAACAACACAGGAAGGACGCCAAAAAGGGGGGGGGGTAAAAGAGTTTTTTTTTGGTGGCCAACGAATTGTTTAAGCAAAAGCACAGGAGGACGCCAATTGAATGTTTTGCAGTTTTGTGGAGGTTGTGAAAGTCGCGGGCTCAGGTTGCTTCCCTTTAACCTACCACTTGGGGTGTGGCTTTGACAGTGAGAAGCACGTGCGTTCCATGTCTTGGAAACAGAGCCCGCGCACTTGCCAGGGGATGCTAACCCTCTGACTAAACGAGAAGGGTATATTTTCCAGACGAGGTGTTTGCCTTCATGGGCATGTGGAGTAGTAGATGTTCTCAGTCATGGACGCGTTGGATTAAAAACGCCCCTGGAATCGGGGGAGGGTGGGGGTTGAGCTTGGGTCGGGGGCTGGGGTGATGGAAGGTGGGCGCGGGGCTGGCGGGAGCTGGCCTTTAAGGCTGGCGGCTGGTCTTGGTTGCATTGGGGGCTGAGTCTGGACATGGGTCTTTGAAGCGCGCGCAAGCAGTGCTTCTTCACTTTTGGCCTTCTCTTGCGGCGCGCTGATGAGGGTCGGTTGTGGTCAAGCAGGCTGTGTCAATCAGCGTTGGGGATCGCAGGTCGCTTCAAACCAGGCGGGCTATGCGAAAGCCAAAGGAGACTGTTTGAGTTTGGTTGGTTTCACAATTTGTCAGCCAGTTTCAAGTCAAGAGCCTTGTGTTTTTCCCATATTGAACCAAGGCAACCATGAATTGGTTTGGGATTGGTTGGGTTTCGCCCCTTCTTGTAGGGGTAAATGTGACACCCATTGCACACCGCAGGGGTCCCAGGGTGCCTGCCCCCGGCAGGACACCTCCAGCGATGAGCCTCTGATGCTTGCGCCCCAAGCCTCCAGTGACGCCAAGGAGCGCCTCCCTATGGTGTCGCAGCCCAGAGCCCGCAGCTGCCCCTGTAGGTGCTGCAAGCTCTGTGGTGAATTCAGATTCTGAAGGGTTGGGGCGACAAAATGTGGGTTTGCCTCAAAAAAGTGGGGATCCGCCAGTTGCCGTTGGGTCTCTTCAAGGCCAGCTGACAGGCCCCCCCCGCTCACCCCTCACCCAACTTTGTGTGAGAGAGTCCGCCCCAGGAGTCCTTCTTCAAGGGCGTGGACAGCAGGGAGGTGGGGATGAGCATCGCCGAGGAGATGCGGAATTACCACCAGGCTAGCGGAAGAAGTGATGAGACACCGGGGCTGGTGGCTGGTGGTCGCGCTTGTTGTTTGTTCCCCACAGAACTGCCGCAAAGGACATAGCCTTAGCTGGGGTGGATAAAGCCGCATGAATTCTGGGCTGAGCCACCGACTTTTGTCCTGTTTTTAAAAAGGAAATCGGAGGGGGGAAGATTCTTCGGTGGCGTGCTAATGAGACAAAACCCTTCCTGCCCAAGGACGACGAGGATGAGACGGAGGAGGAAGATGTTCCTCAGGACTCCCGCATTCGCCGAGAATACGACCACCATTGTTTACCCAAGGAAGTCCATCATCCAAATTGGGTCCTTGGCAAGGAACGGGGGCAACTTGAATTCTAGGGCGGCATGTGCGGTCCTGCAAGCTTGTCCAAAGCTCCCCCGGTGCCAGCAGCCGTTTGGGTCAAGTTCAAGATCTGACTGTCCACAGTGCACGTGCCTTTGGCTGAAATTGTGAGCATTAAGGTTGAGATCGAAGAGGGGTCCCTCCATTCTCAGCTATTTTGGACCTCCAAAAGTGGCAAGTTTGTAGTGAACTGCATCTGTTGAAGGGGAAATCCGGCGACCCCTGTCTTGTTTGATACTGTTCAATTTGTTGAGCAGGCGAAACGGTCCTTGCCGCTCAGTTTGGACATCGAGGAACATGTTCGCGTTTTGATGTCATGGCAGATGTTCAGGTTCCGACCCTTGCCGAGATGGAGCGTGGCGGCCAGCTTGCCGAGCATTCATTGAAGGAGGCCATGGCGGACGTTTCGAAGAAGTTGGGCTTGTTCGAACGCGTCCGCCATGTGTGCCAATCCGTCGCCATCCCGCTTCCCGGAGTGGTGGTGGTTGGAGAGCAGTCTGCTGGCAAGTCATCTTTGCTGGAAAATATCTCCGGCATTCAGTTCCCAAGGGCGCAGAACACATGTACAAGAATGCCATGTGTCCTCACCTTGCTGACGGACCCGACCCTGAAAGATTCCTCTGCGGAAGTATCCATGGACCCCAGTTTTGCAGACGCTGCTTCGATTGCACTGGCACTGCTTTGTGTTTAGTGGGTGTTGTAGTCGGCATGGTTCAACAAAACGTGCTTCTGGACATCTTCTTTGAAGCATCCATGTAGCTCTTGAATGGATAGTGTTTTTTTGCTGTGGCGGTTGAGTGCATGAAAGGCCTAGTGGCAAGAAACTCGTGTTGTCCACCCAAGGCAAGTAAATGCTCCGTATCTGATGTCGAAAGCCACATCAAGGGGCTTACCGACAAGCATGCAACTGGCAACGAGTTCATCTCAAGTCAGGCCTGCGGACGTGAAACGGTAGATCCATGGTGTGTGGATTCTTGATGTGTCTTTGTTTGATGGTTCCGTTTTTTTGGGGCTAGTCCAGAAGGACAACAACCGTTTTAGGGGTCTTTCAACAAGAAGCACACGCATTTCGTTGCGGTTAACTCGTGTGCTAAAAGTAACAACTGCAAGCGAAAGGGCTTGAACCCGCACTTGATTTGGAATGTCAAGTGCTGTGCCCTTGCGTGAGTCGTGTGCATTCACACCGCTTGCCATCTTGGTGAATAGATCTTTTTCATTTTTCCAAGACCTGACCGCCCGGGACCTTCCGCCATGACTGCACCCTCGTGCTTCATCGACGTCTTGCAGCATTACCAGCTCATGGAGATGATCGAGGTTGCGCCTGACGTGCTTGTACCATGCCCTCCAGGCCTACCTCACCACCTTGCCCGAGGCCGTTAGCGCGGGCAACATCCTCCCGGGCAACCGGGTATGCACGCACGAGCTCCAGCTGTAAGGGTCGCACGCTCTCCGGGACAACATATGCAACCGGCACCTTCGACAACGCGGCCACCACCCTCCTGCAACCACTCCACGACGCACGGCGGCCTTCTTGCTTGGCTTCGCTTCGTGCACCACTCAAGACCGAATGCTGGAGTCGGCGTCCACTACGATACCGCCGCACATGAATGGCGATTTGTATCGCGACAGGAGACCTACGAGATCCTCCGAGACCATCAGTACGGCGAGTGGAACCCACCACCACACCACTCCTCTGTCCGGTAAACGTTGACCCGCATGCTCCGCACCGAACAACCGGCATTGGACTACATACCCCCGGCCCGACACGACATACAACCATACCGGACAACGCGACACGGGTCCCTACATCGGGCAATCGCTGCGGGGGCTCCTACATCGAGAGCCAACGCGCTGCAACTTCTCGAGGCCGAGACCTACGCCCCATCCAGCAGAGACCCACGACCCACGATCAGCCGATCGCGTCGTCTTGGGACTACTACAACCAGCCTTTGGAATACAACCACCTATACGACACGTCCGTAAAGGCGCCCTCGGCACCGTGGTCGACCTGTGGCTGCGCAACCCCCAACTATAAAAAAGCACCGCCGCGGCACAGCGACATTGTACACATGCCGCAGAACGACTGGCGAGACCACCTCGAATGGGTCCAGCAACATGCCCTCTCCATCCAACAATCCCAAGACTGCGACCCGACAGTCAAGTGGGCCATCGACATGCAGCAGTCCATGCCGCACCACGTTCTGCAGGACATTGAGGACCTTCGGGACGCCATGTCGGACGAGACACAACTCTTGACACTTCCACTACATGACCAACGGGCATACAAACAACCGAAAATGATCACACAAGTCCCACTGATGACACACCTCCTCCGAATGGTGGAATACCCGCAGACCCAGTCACTACACGACGAAATGTCCAACGGCTTTGACCTACTTGGCCCACTGCGACCGGCGCATATGCCAGGACCACAAATTTCTGCCCCCCTGCAACCTGAGCGAACTACGCTCTTTCAACCACGTATGCTCAAACAACATAAAGTTGATGACCATTGGACACTCATGGCCACAGAGATTGCGGGAGAAGCCGAACCGGGACGGATGGCAGGACCGTTTGTCGCACCAGTACATTGGCAAACCAAGACGGTCTCCTTGCGCACCTTCCCACACACCGACACGCTCCTTCCGCTACCGTGCCCGAACCCCATCGTGGCCATTGCATTCAGCATGCACCAGACAGGCTCCGATGGGAAGCCCAAGATCCGACGGGGTGAAGACTGGCGCCGGAGCGGCCGCAACCAGACCTGCTCCACGCACGACCATCCAGTGCGCACGCCAATACCCCGACTCTCAACACCAGCTACACGTGTGGGACGATGGCGCTTACCGTCAACCACAACCAGAGGTGGCATACGTGCTCCTTTTCACGCCAGACTCTGCAGCCAGCGCGTGGGGCTACAACCTCCGCTACGCCTTAAGCGCACTCGCGCGTGTGTTGACCATCTTGCTCTCCACTATGTGGATGACCATGGTGCCATACAGCCTACACAGATTTCACAGAGCTCCTTCGCATCTTTCAGTGGCCCCGGCACCTTCACGTAAAATACAGGGAGTCTTCATCGGACACCCGCGCCACACTCAGGCCCTGTCCGGACCGAGTCTGACGCGTGATGCAGACCCTGTCCCAATGGCGACGCCGCCAGACACACGGCGGGCAAGTGCAATTTTGTCTCCGGCCATCTGTTTGGCCGAGTCGGTCGATCCCGACAAAGCGGCCCTGTACCACAAAGCTCACAGCACATCCGATCAGATCGAGAAACCGGCTTGAGCCGCCATTCTGATCCTATTCAACGTCCTGCAACATAGCTCCCCCCGGAGCATCGCCCTCAGCGACACGGCACGTGCCCTCACCATCATTTACACCGACGCCCTTTGCAAACAGGGCGAACGGATGGCCACATGACCCTGCCCCCCAACTAGTCTTTTGACAACGGCTGGGCAGCAGTGCTCTTCACACCCCACGCGTGTCGAGCCAGAGTCGTATCGGGTGCACTGCCACCGAACCTGCTTCAACAGGTCAGCAGCACCAACGCCATCTACTTCCTCGAAGCATGGGCTGCTCTTATAGCCCCGGTCATCTTTCGGCCCTGGCTTACCAACACATACCTTCAGCTGTGTGATAACGAAGCAGCCAAGCACGCGATCCGCAGGGGAGTAGGCAAACACCAACCTTTGAACTGCCTACTTGGGAGCACGTTGGACCTGGCACAACCGTCAGCAACTACTATTGCACATAGCGCGTGTAGCCACACATGCCAGCATTGCCGGCCCTTTTAGCCGCCAAGACATGTCCTTGGCTCACACCCACGGCTGGCAAATCTTGCAGCCACCGATGCACGCGTTGCACAAACGCAAGTGCCGCGTCATAGGCGACATTGAGTTCGCCCATAACGTCGGATTCGACGGAGTAAAGGAACTCCAAAAGTTCCACCAGTGCCATTGCACCTGAAACTGACTGGACTTCCATGTTTCGTGAGAGCCGAGACCGGCCACGCAGATACTTTTGAGTCAGTGGTGTCTGAGAGACACTGACATCGACCCCAGAGAGAATGCTGATCGACCAACAGGTACGATCCCACCCACTTGAGGCAGTGTGGTGAAAATCAGTCGGACCGTCGAACTCTCTGGAGCGTCTCGTTGTTGCGGTTAACTCCTGTGTTAAAAGTAGCAACTGCAAGCGAAAGGGCTTGAACCCGCACTTGAACTGGCATCTCAAGTGCTGTGCCCTTGCATGAATCGTGTGCATTCACACCGCTTGCCATTTTGGTGAATAGATCTTTTTCATTCCCACCCACCCTCACCTTTTTCACTGCATGCCTCCAGTACCTCTCAGTCCCTGAAGTCAGCATTGATCGAGCGGACGGGAGAACGTCCACTCCCCTTTGGATACCTTGCTGTACAACATTTTGGTTTGCATGCGTTCGCATTTGCTTACCTTTATTTCGTTGTACTTTACTTTTGGGTCAGTGGTGTGTGAGAGACACCGACATCGACTCCAGAGAGAATGCTGATCGACCAACAGGTACGATCCCACCCCCTTGAGGCAGTGTGGTGAAAATCAGTCGGACCGAAGCTGGTGGCAGTCGAACTCTCTGGAGCGTCTCGTTGTTTAGGGTTGTTTTGGCTGTACGTGTTGCGCATCAACGGCGTCATATTCCTGCGTTGCCAGGTTCGATTTCTTTGGCCCTTTCCGGTGCTTTCAGGCCCTCTATGTCCGAGTGGTTCGCCGAGAGGGACCTCAGCTTAGTTTGATTGACCTTCCTGGCGTGACCCACAACGCAGATCAGATGCAGAACATCCACGAGGCTGGACAAGTCAAGCTTCGGAGCAGAACAATGTTGAGGTGAATGTTTGCATTGCAGATTGTTGGCAAGTCGTGACTCTTTCCAGATCAGTCCGAGATAGAGGTCCGACTTCCTTTCACGACTTCCAGTTTGGTCGAGTGTTGCAATTATTTGAAAGGTCACAGTGAACTTGGTGGAAGAGTACATCAAGCCAGAAGAGATGGTGATCCTTTGCGTGATACCGGCCATGTCCGACTTCGGAAATGCGGAGGCAGGCAGAATTCGCGCGCTGGCGTTTGGAGGATGCGTGTTGAAGGTCTTAAGCAAATCCGACACAGGCAGATAGATACTCATTGGCGGACGTGTGACGTTGCAGCGATGTTTGTCTTCAGGAGGTTTGTGTGTCACCTGCCTGAAACTCACTCCCTGAGTTCACGGACTTAGCCTCAAAACGCAGCGCCGCAGCTTAAACTACAGCCTGACTCACTTCTCGAGTTCATGGACTTGAGCCATCTTTTGGGGTCTGGACCATTTTAGTGGCAACCAGTATGTTTGGACTTTTTGGGTCAAGTCCACTCGATCGGAAGCGGTGATCTCAGCCGGCCTTCTTGCAGGTTGTGAAGCTGGCGCGGAAGTATGATCCCCAAGGCATCCGCACCTTGGGTGTGGTTACAAAGTGCGATGACGCGGCCAACGCCGAAGCCTCTGACATCGTTGAGAAGGCGCAGTTTTTGCTTGTGCGTGGTAGGACCGGGTAGAATGGGGGGGGGGGGTGCGAACGTTAAAGCGCAAAACATTTTCCTTAGCTCTCTTTGGCTGCAGGTGTTGATGTTGAGAGATTCTTGAGCTGGGATTCCACTGTGTTGTCAATCGTTCTCAAAAGAACATCGATGATGGCATGAGTCGGGAAGATCTCTGGAACAAGGAGAAGGCGATCTTTACAAAGAAAGATCGCATGAAGACCTTACCCGAAAAGAATTGGGGCACTTTGAATCTTATGGAAAGGGTCGCAAAGATCCAAGAGGCGCGAGTGGACGAATGTCTGCCAAAGATCAAGGATGCCGTGCGCAAGAAGACTGGCGAATTGCAGGAGGAGCTGCGCAAATTGCCAGCCCAAGCGGATACGGAGGCTGATCAATTTCGGTTGTTCAATGGCATTCTTGCTCGAATCAGGAATGATTTGGTGCGCAGAATCCGTGCAGAGTTCATGAGCGCAGAGACCTCTGACCGAGAACTGACAATTGCGCCGATCGTTGCTTCGATGGTTCAGAGCTTTCGGAAAGAGCTGCTGGAGCGCAATCCTGATTGGTTGGGACAGGATATGATCGATGAGGTAGATGACACAGTACAAACCTTTGTGACTGGGTACACGGTGGAGAACCTGGTCGGCCCCCATGTCTTTATCAACCTGATCAAGCAAACCTTCATCGAAGAAGGGCTTTTGAAAGACAGCGTGAATGGGCTGGTTGGAGACGTTGGTGAGCATCTTCGCAAGGTGAGCCACAATCAAGCCCCGGGTAGATGAAGGTTCGTAAGGCGTAATAAATGGGCAGCAGCTTTTTGGATTCTGGTTTTGGACAGCCATGTTAGTACCGATCGGTTTTGATTTTTGACTCAGGTGGTGGCGCATGTCATAGGGTTGCACGCCAACATCAATGGCATCCTGGCCAACTCTTTGGATGCAAAGGCTGAGGAGTGCATTGACCAACTCACGACGAAAGCTCGAGAAGTCTGTGAGATGTTGTCGGAGGCTCAGCAAGTGACCTCCACCACACACGGTCAGTACATGGTGAAGCTGACGCAGTTTCGCAAGTCTTGGTTTCAGGAAGCTGCGGATGGAGTCAAGAAATTTTTGCCCAGGCTCTCTTGGGAGGGCAGGGGCAGAACGGAGAAGAGGAGAGCGAGCTGGAGGAGTTCGTGCGCTTGGAGCAAGCCCAGGAGCCGCAGAAACTGGCAGCTCTCGAGATTTGTGCGTCTTTGCGCGTCGATTTACCGGCTTCATGATCGAAGGCTTTGTCGAGTCGGCCAAGTTGGTGAAGTTCACCATGGAGCAGCTGGCGGAGCTGGAGGAGACGTGGCGAGACCAGCTGGCCGGAACCAACCTGCATGAGCTCTTCCCAAGGGACGGGACCATCGTGCATCGCCAGGAGGATCTCAAGGCGAAGATCAACGTCTTGCGGGACTTCAAGGCAAGGGAAAATGGTGGTTCTGCATGTTCCACGTCTTTTGTCGGAACAGCTTTGTCGAAGAAACATGCAGTGATTGCTTTTGTTCCAGCTTTGGCTTCCATGGCATGTGCGGCAGGAGCAGATGATGGGTTTGAAGACGGCAGCTTTGCCTGTTCAAAAAGGCAAGCAGACCGTTGTGGAAAAGGCCCGGGCCAGAGCCGATGCGAAGGCCGAACAGGCAAAGACGCAGCCTGCAAGCAGCGCTTCTGCAGCGGATGGGACGGCGAAGAAGCCGCCCGCATTCATGTGGAACTTTGCTGTGCAGGTGGAAGGCCAGACGTTCAAAAAGGGTGATGAAATCAAGAGTGAGAAGTTCACATTGATGGGCGTGCCAGATTTGTATCTGAGCCTGTATCCGCGGGGGGATGCAAACGCTTCAGATGGCAACATGTCAATGTTCCTGTATGCGCCTGAAGGCTGGCAGATCAGGTTCAAGGCAACCCTTGAGGGTGTGGTGAAAACAGAGAGCAAAACCTTCAATGGAGGGTTTGGTTGGGGCTGGGCTGACTTTGCTGCCGCTAACAGTGGCTCAACTGAAGTTTCAGTGGAGCTGCTCGAGGCCATTCCGCCGGAGGCGTACAGTTTCAACGTTCTATAGGTCACTTGGTTCGCGAGCAAAGGGCGATGCCCGGCGATTTTTTTGAATCTTGAGCTCCACATTGGGCCGTCTGCGGGCAGATAGCTTCATTTGTGTGTGACAGATCGTGGCAAACAGGCAGTAAGAAGCAGAGACTATGAAGTTATATTACAATGTATACTGCGTAAGCTAGTTTATGCTATAATATAATTCTCGTTTACAGGATGGTATGATGTGTGTATTCTGCTTCGACGTTAGTCAAAGGTGAGTTTTCAAGAAACTTCCGTAGTACTGGAATCAATTGAGCTAGCTGCTTTGACACATAGCCATGACAGATAACTTTACGGCTTGCGTGACAAATAGATAGCTTTGACAAATAGCAAGCTTGAAAGATAGATAGCTCTAAGATGTGTGACGTGCGCGAAATAGCTAGCAACATGACGAAAGCACGAGAGCTGGCGAACAGCAAGAAGCAGAAAACATTGGCCCTGTGCGTGAATTGGGCTCCTCGGACAGTGCGCGAGCCAGAGGTGGCGACGCCTGTCTCGGAACGGTCCTGGAGACGGGCCCATTGGCACGGCCGTCCGAAGGTTTCGCAGGGATTGAATTGCGGGGCAGGCGCAGCACTTTCGCAGATTGCGTGGCGGCGCAGGGCTTTCTACAGACTTCTTGGCATCGCAGCGCTTCCACAACGCAAGGCCAAGTACACTTTCGCAAGGTCGAGTGCAGATTTCGTGGCAGGCGCAGCGATGTCGAAAGGGCAAACACAGAGATCGTGGTGGGCGCACGTTTTTTTGCAAGAGAGAGAGGGAGATAGATAGCTAAATGGATGTAGAGAGATAGTCAAAAGCAACAAGCAAATAGGTAGACAAAGGGACAGCACTTTCGCAAGGCTGCAGCAGAGTTTTTGGCAGGCGACAGGCAAGCACTTTCGAAAAGCCAAAGCTGAGTGCAGATTTCGTGGCGCAGCGCTTTCGAAAGGTCAATCGCAGAGCTCGTTGTAGCGCACTACTTTCGCGAGAGAGGTAGAGGGAGAGAGAGAGAGAGAGAGAAATAGATAGATGAGATAGATAGCTAGACAGATAGATAAGTAAACCGATAGCTAGGTAGGGATAGAGAGAGAGAAATATGAGAGATAGATACGGAGGTAGATAAGTAGATGGATAGGCAGATCGATACATAGATAGATAGATAAACAAGAAAGAGCTGGATAGCTAGATAGACTAGACAGGAAGATAAAGAGATTAGAAAATAGAGAGTTGTTTTGCTTTCACGCACTTGGATGAAAGCTTTGGACAAGCGTGCGACAAAGGAGAAAAGAGACAAGGAAAAGGGAAGCAGCAGAAAACTGCACGCAAGACAAAGAGAGAGAGGGGGAGAGAGAGAGCTATATATCTATAGAGAGAGAGAGAGAGAGGCAAGCCGTTCTCCAAACTATAGTTGTTCACTGTTTTGAAACTTCTGCCCCCCAGCTCTGCCGGACCCTACCAGCATTGAGAATATGGATTGCACGAATATACGTAACCTATGAAGTCAATCTTCTGTACAATCTTCTTAAGAACAAGACACCTTTTCTATAATTATACTTATGTTTCTCGAACTGCAATATGAATTTATCTTAGACAAGCATTGATGTGTTTGAGCCCATGCGTTCTTTGTGTGTTTCGAAGCTGTTAGATTGGTACTTCGTCCGGTCGCGTTTGGTCTTGTTGGAAAATTGCCGGGATCAAGCATACTGCTTTTGGTGGAACAGCACCTCCAATAGTCCATGGTCCCCTTGGGATGGACGACTCCCACAACTTCCGATATGGTGAGATGTTACTGTAGGGCAGGCTACATGTGAAACAGACTTTGGACTCATGATTCTCTGCGTGCCCCAGATGGCCAAGAGTGTCACCTCGCCGCAAACCGAACAGGTTGCGAGAGTCTCAAAGATTCTGCGGTCGCAGGAGCTCGGCAAGCCGCCGGCCTCCGTGGCAGCAAGGCTGCAGCCAGGTGTAAGGGGGGGGCGGCCTCGCCGGGGCTGGAGAGCGTTTGCTCTCCTTTTCCCAGTTGCCCAGTGGTGCCCCTTTTTCCTTTTTTAGGGGAAGGGTTCCCCTTTAAAGTCAACCAACCAAAAATGCCCTTGTTCCCCATGGCCACGGGGAAGGGTTCCCCTTTAAAGTCAACCAATCAAAAATGCCCTTGTTCCCCATGGCCACTGGGCATCTGAGTTTTCTTATAGCAGCCCAAGCAAGGTGCTAGCCAACAAAAATGGCCAAGGGCCGCGGGGCTTGCCGGCTTCCACTTCTTTTTTTGGTTTACTCTCCTCTCAGGAGATGCCAGGTTGCCACCCTTGATTCGCACTGTGTGCTCCCTGCTCAGCTTTCCAGCTCGGCATCCACCCCTGCGCAGATATTTGTGCTTGCTGAGGTTGCAGATCCGGCGCTGCTGCGTGTCGTTCCTTGGACTGAGCCAGCTGAGCCTTGTGAATCACTTGGTTTCGGCATGTATCCTGTAAGGAACCCTGCTCATGCATTCCGGTCCAGCCGAAAGCGGGCTTTCCCGGTGTGGCAGCAGCGTTTTTGACCTATCCAGGGCCTACCTTCTCGCTTGCTCTGATTTAGACGTGACTGCAGTGTCGCTTGAGTTGGGTTGTCTCACAAACCCCCCCCCCCCCAAATGGCGCGGGTTTGCCTTTTGAGAACCTCGAACAGGGGTACCCTCCCACAACCCGAGTGCGTAATACTCGGATGTCCTGAGGAGGAGGAACCCCCGATCCGGAGGGCCTTGCGGCCTCACGAGTGCTGGACCCAATGCAAGCAAACGGCGGGGACAGGCCGGGAAGGGCCCCTAAAAGGTTTGAAACGGTTGCATTTGCAGTTGGCTTCCTTTAATTGAACAGGCTCAATGCTTCCCTTCCATAGTGGTTAGGATTACGGATCAGGATCCGGGACCGAAAACCATTTGGAAGAGCGGAGATTTTCCCAGCCGGTCCAAGTATCTCTCTTGGTGCATTTCGGGAAAGTGTACTTGCCTCAACCTTTCTTGAAACAGGCGTGGCCAAATGCGCACACAAGTATGTGGACAGCCTCCAACGGCATTTGTCGGGGCGTGGGGATCGTGGCAGGGTTCGACCACGAAAAAGGCACCACCTATATTGGTCAACCAGGGCTTCAGCAATCCAGGGCTTCAGCAACTCGCTCGTGGGTCGGAGAGCCGCAGGCAGTGTGCAGACACAGATGCTTATCATGGCGGGCACCACGCGCTCTGTGATGATGTATGCGCAGGAGGACCCGCACTTTGGGATTTCAAACCTGCATGTGAGCCAAAATCAATACCCGGGTAGATAAAAGTTAGTAAGGGGCAGTCCCAGCCAGAAATGGTTGCGGCCGCCTTCTTAATTCTTCACATGGTTCTGGGTAGACCATTTTAATACCGGGTTTTGATTGTGACTCAAGTGAAGGATCTTTTTTGATCTCCCATGGTGAAAGTCAGCTCTTATTTGGTTTCCCGACTCCCCGCCCCATGTGAAGGAACTTCTCTAGAGGCCCTGAAGTGGCCGTAGGCCTGCCTTCCCAGCCGGGCCTGCGCAGGGACTTGGGTCGTCTGACGACCAGACACGAAGGCAAAAATGGGAATTGGATCGTCAATCACAGGCCAAAGCGACGCCAGCCGTGTTTTTGCGATGCCTCGTTTTCAGATGGCCCCCCCAAAAAATTAGTGGTTTTACTATTTACGGGCTCCCATTTTCATGAGGATGTCCTAGGGCCTAGGCCCACACAGCAAAACTAGCAGCTGAGTCCAGGCGGATTCCCTTGCCCTGCTCACTGCCTTGATCCTCCCGGGAATGCGTGTTGGGTGGCATCGGTTCTTGTGGGTTGATTGGCACAGGGTCAAATCACACCGACCGGTAGAAGGAGCTTCACGGAAGATCCGAATCTCTGCAAGTTTCTGGTTGGACGGATCGCGCAGGAAGTGGGTGCCAGTTTTTACGGACCGCGCGCCGTGCTCAAACTGGAGGTTTTCATGCACCAGCCCGGTGAAACCAGCATGTTTTCCAGGGCTCCTTAAAAGACACATTTTGCAACCATTTGAAACATGTTGCGCTTTTTCCACCTGAATAAAGGGAAAACACCATTTCCAAGGCAATGTTCAGGTGTATAATGCATCCGGATCCCTGTCTTCTATGGTGCAATCTCTCGGCTTTGTGGCGCTGCATCCCTGAAAAAAACGAAAGAAATCCGCACGCCTTCTCGCGGATCAGCCGAAGTTCATTTCACCGGAGTCCCTCGGTTCGATTCGAGCCCAAAAGGCAAAAAGGCGAGGCCAAGATGAGGATGTTTTTTTTTTCTTCCCCCAGCCGCCTGCCTCTGCGCATGTTTTTTCTCTCGGCCTCGCGAAACTTGAAGGTGCCCAAGGGTTGTGTTCTTCGCAGATTCGTTTGGTGTATGCACGCCATGGATCCACCCCGTTTGGGGGCTGGTTTTTTTGCAGCGCCACCACGGCTGAGAAAAAGCACATGAAACTCTTGGCCTTCAAATTGCCGTATGCAGGCCCAGAGAGGTGAATCTCCGGATAGCCGGGAACCCTACCCTCCAGACTTCTTCATTGCTCACTGCCCTCGGCAACACTCATACAGTCTGTTTTCCTGAATCGGTCATTCGCCCCCCCGTTCCATACATCAAGATGCTTCCACAGCCCGTTTTGCAGAATTCATGGCTACCTGGGCTTAAATCGCCCCCTCCTGGCTTTTCTCAAACAAATCCCTGATGCAAGTTGAGATTCGGCTTGGTTACTTCTCGATATTTTCCGCATCATGTTCCGCACCCATGGGAGTCTGCAAATGGTGCCAGGATGTATCCTTTAATCCAATATTGATTCGAAGCCATAAGGGGAGCCATGGGGGTCGGTGATGGCCGAGAAAATAGTCCTAGGTCGCTAGTCAGTAGACAGTTCGTTCGGTACAAATTAACTGACAGAGGTAGTAAGATGTTCTCTCAGCAAAATCCAGCTGTCGGGTTGGAAACAGTGAAGCAATGGGTGTGTGTCTCTGTTTCAAGGGAAGCCAAAGAAACAGCCACCCATTTGAGGGGTCTCCTATCGAACCACCCAAATATTGACAGTGGCTCGTATGTTTTCAGGACCTTGCTTAAAAGAAATGCTTAAACAAGCCTACAAGTGCTTTTTTTCTTCTCCTTTTTCTTTCTCCACAAGGCTCATTTAGTGGAGATTTGGTTTGGTGGGGCGGGTGCGTGCGTCGTGGGCACTTTGTGGAGCCAAGAACCCTACAAAACCATTTTACCCTCCCGAACTAGCATGGAACCGCCGTGCATGGTGGCCCGCTTTCTTCCTGGGCATCCCGCATTCTTGCGCAGCATGTTGTAAACCTCCAAGATGCACATGGCAAACCACCTCGGGACGCGATCGCCCGTGTCGATGTTTTCCGCAAGGAGGGCTCCCAGGTGTTCGGCGTGCTGGACCCCGCTGGGCAGTTCCGTACCTGCTGGGACCTGGTGGCCATCCTGTTCCTTGGGCTGGCAAACCGTGTGGCGGTCTTTTTCTCATTGTTTGGGGGTGTTTTTTTGGTTGTTTTGCTTTTCTTTTGTCTTTATTTCTGGGTTCTAAGTTTTTGTTATGCTTGTTCCGGATGTTTTTTTAGGTGTTCTGCCCTTTTCTCGGCTTGTTATTTTTCCTCCAAGGCCTTAGAAGCAACCGTTTCGACGAATTATCCCAGGTTTCTTTTCTTGCCTGGTTGAATCATTCTCGTTGTGTTGCTGCTGGTCAAACCATACGTTTCCCTGTTGGTTTTCCTGTTGGCTGTAAAGGCGGTGGGGGATAATGGTCAAGGAACATATGTTTTTTCAAGTTTTGTCGTAGTTCAAAAAAAAACAATCTGCCAAGTGTTTTTTGCGACCCCAGACATGCTGGAAGGCTTTTGCTGACCGACGTGGTCCTGATCCCTTTGCAGTTCTTGAACTTGCGCCTTGGGTTTGAAGGGGAGCGGTTTGGGTGACAGTAGACGGCACAATCTCACTCATTCCTACCCCATCAAAAATGGGATATGGGGGAACCACGAACAAAAAGGTGCGAAGAAGCCTTTACCCATGGAACCGTTCGACATTGGGGGAATGGGTCCTGGTTTGGATTATTTTCCTTTTGCAAAGAACCTACGTAGCCATCTGGTTCCAACCCCCCTCTCCCCCGCCGGATGTGCAGTTCAGGACTTATTCGGCGGAGTCCCAGCTGGCGGTGGGCTTTTGGATTTTGGATCTGGTGCTGAACTTTCGGACGGCCTACGTGGGCAAGGGGGTGCTGGTGCGGAACGGCTGGAAGGTGGCCTGGAACTATCTGAGGAGAAAGGGGGGGTTTGGGAGGGGTTTGGGAGGTGTGTGTGTGTGTGTGTGGGGAGAAGGGGGGGTTGGGGCGGTTTGGGGGCGAAGGGGGGAAGGGGGGGTTCTCAAATTTTCCAGCTTTTCCACAGGTCTGGGTTTTGGTTCTTAGTCAATACCTGTGGGAAATGGGATGACTTCTTGGAAGGCACGTTTGGGTCCTTAGCTTCTTTTGGTCTTGGTTGGTTTCGTGGGCCGTTCAACCCATCACAGGTTTTTTCCTTTTGGCGGGGGATCGGACAACGGGCTGCGCAGCTGGGATGCTTTGTGCCTGTGACCATTTGAGCAAGGGTTTCAAATTCGGATGGCCCCCACGATGGCATGGCAGAGGTGCTGCTTCTTTTTTTTTGCCCTCCATCCAATTCGAAGCTCCTTGGGCCAGGACGTGGTTCCTGTTCGACTTCGGGGTGGTGCTGCTGGATGCCATCCTTGAATTTGGCGAGGCGCCTGCTCTTCAAGCCACTCCCGCACAGAAAGTAGCAGAAGGGGTTCGTCAAAACATCGTATTTTTTAAGGTTCCACGTTATATGTGCTTGGGAGTGTTCTGCAGGAAATCGGACTGAATGAATTGTGAAATGCAGCCCATGCTCGTCCACACTGAGTTGGGAGTCAGGGTTTGTACTGGTTGTGCTGCGGTTATCAAAGGACAAGACATGGTCCTTGCGTGCCCTTTGTAAGCCATCCACAGGTCGAGCTCATTGCATAGAGTCTCCTCTGTCCCCCAAGCCCCTTCCCCCCTTCCCCCCGCCTTGCCCTCGCCCCATTTTCCCCGGAGGGTGGTGGGGGGAAACCCCTCGCAGGAGGGGCGCGCCACCCGGTTTCTGCGGTGCGTGCGGCTGCTGCGGGCGGCGCGCCTGGGGCCGGTGAGCAAGCTCTACAGCTTCCTGCAGGAGAAGTTGGACTCCCAGGCTGGTGGGAGGAAGGGTCTAAGAGCGAAGAGGCTTGGCTTGCTGACCTGAAAAAGAGTGGAAACGTGAGTTTCCTACAGCAGCATTGAGATCCTCTGCTACCAGACTCGGGAAGGGGCGAAAGGGACACACAGGCACACAGACACACACACACACAGACTATATATATTTATATACATGTAGAAATAAATGAATCAATACACACACACATATATATATACATATATATATATATATATGTATACTCGACCAAAGTGGAACATGGGCCTCCCTTTGTAGCATTGGATCCGATCCCTTGGCCCGTCCCAAACCTTCCGAAAGCAGTTGTGGGAAGACCAGTGACGTGGTTGGTCCCAGTGCCCCAGTTTTTGCACAGAGTTGGTGACCCAGCTTTCTGGAAAACTGCCCCAATGCTTTTCTCCCGCAAAGTGGGAGGGACCACTGGCTTTTCTCTCCCAGTTGTGTTTTTGTTCCTCCCAGCCCCCCCTTCACACCTTAACATATCAAGATTTCGGCCAGGACATGACACAACCCATGGTGCCGTCGACTTTGTAAGGGGGACAAATGTCTAAGGTGGCTTACACCCCCAGACCCCCCAGACCCAGGATTCGCAGAGGACATACTACGACGGCCACGCATTTTTTGCTCGCTTCACAGGGAACCACCTCAAAAGTGGCTGGCAGAAGTCCCCTGAATGACGTCCGCCATTTCGTTACTTTGGATTCATAGCCCTTTGCTTCAGATTCAAGCACAAGCCCTAAACCACTACCGGGGCCCAAGCGTTCAACGGGCTATACAACCAAACACACACACACACAGCCATGTTTCTTTCCTAAAGCAGGTTGCGACATAATTTCCCTGACTCCCAAATTCACCCCCCCCCCACCTCGAGGTGGCAGCCCCGGAGCTCTCCCCCCCGATTTTTTGTGGCTTTCCTTGTTGTCCCCTTTTGAACAACTACCTCGAGAAGGAGGAGTCCTCCAGACACGCCCCATCTGTTTTTCTTGAGGTGGCGGCCTTGGAGTTCTCGTTGTGTCTGCTGCTGCTCTGCCTGGTGCTCTTGGAGCACGTCATCGCCTGCGGCTGGTTCGGCGTGACCGCACTCGGCCAGGCGAGCGGTGTCCGGAAGGGGGGGGGAGCCTCAGAGGCGCCAGACACCGGAAACGGCGGAGGTCAAATTTCAAGTCCCGGGTTGGACTTGATTGCCAACTGGGTTGGACCTTTGGACTCGGATTCTTGAAATCAAGTTGGTTCACCTATTGACTCCACAGAAAAAGTGAAGCTCTTTGTGCAGAGGGGTCGACAGCAAGCAAGTGGAGGGGTAGCTAGATAGCGCTTGGAAGGGAGCCAGACTCGGAGCCAGGGAACCCAAGTTTTTGCCTGCTTCCGTGTAAGGGTTTTGTGCAGACCCCACATCGGATTGGTCAACCGAAGAAACCCCAAATCTTGGGTGTCGGATCTCAAAGGGATTTTTCGGCACGCATGTTTTCTCTTTGCGGTAAAGCGTTTTGGAGGTCACGTGCGCAGAGCAAACAGGAGCTTTCGCGCTCGGCGCTGATTCGAAGCATTTGGCCTAGGACGACAATGATGACCACCTCCTATCCTTCTCACGTTTTCGACTGGTGAATCATTGAACAAGCAGGAGGAATTGTTTGCTTGTTGAGGTTCCGCCCGCCAGGGAATCTACCAGAAGGTCCCAGTAGAACAAGTCATGTTAGTGCTGGTGCTAGTGCCTGTCTTGGGGTCTATGGTATGGGCGGTTGAGCAACCAATGAGAGACCAGGAAAGCTGACCTGCCGGGAAAAATGCTAGCTTTCAATCACCAAAGATGAGCAACCCTGGGTATAGATTCTTGGTGAGAATCTGGACAGCTCGCCTGAAGGAAAACGTGGCCCATGAAGGTTTGGGATTCCTGATTTCCGGTTGGCGGGTTGTTGAGAAACCTTCCTCCGAACATGGCACCTGACAGGGACCGGTCCCTTCAAGAGGAAATTGATCTTCCAGGTGTGCAAAGGTGCCGCCCTGGTAGTGGTGGGAAGGTTAGGCCCAGGAGAACGTACGTGGATGGACGAAATCACGCACCACCTAATAAACCCTGGATTGATGCTTCCCGTGGTTTGTGCCAACAAACGTGATGGTTTTCATTCCCCTGGAGACCGCTTCGTGCGGTCGAGCGGATGTCGCGTCGCCGTCCTCGGTATCACGTCCTGTGCTCCCGAGGACGAGACCTGGATTCAGCACTTCAACATGGGGGACAAGTCCATGCTCCGCCAGCACCTGGCTATGGGCTTGAGACGTGCGGGTGGGCATTGTTGTGTAGAATGTGACAGCACTCCTCTGGCTGTGGGTCAAAACCAGTAGTACCATGTTGGGGGTAGGTAAATTCACCACCCACTTGAGTAGGTGCACCACCCATTTGAGAACCTATTTTAGTGGTTGGATTGAATCGGATGTTCACTGGGGGCTAACCGGGCTTTTGAAAAGCCCATGGCCATATGAGCGGCGAAAAAAACCTCCGTAGATCAATTTAGATGAAACTGGAAATTACTCTTGCAGTCGTAAGCGTTTTTGCGTGATTCGTAAGCGATCGGAAGGTCCTGCGTAAGCTGCATGCATGAGTCACTCGTCGTAAGCTTTGCGTAAGCTCTGTTTGTCAGATCCGTTTTTCGTTCAGACTGTTTGGTAGAAGTTGCTTTTGGTCCGCGTAATGCTTTTAGGCGTGAAAATGGGATCAGATTGCTGGAATTGGTTCTTCCGAGCAACAAGGAAAGGGATTCTTTCAGTGAACAACTTTTTCTGGCTCAGACAACTGCTGTTTGACTGTTGGGTTACTTGTGCAAACCTTTTGCAATGTTCCACGCACACGCGTTGGCCAGCTTGAACAAAAAAGCTCGCGTTTGGAAAACAACTTTTCGAGCCCCGAAAGTTTTGTTTTGGCACCTCACCTTGTTCGTTGCGCGGGCTTGGAAAACAACATGTTGAGCCCCGCTTGTTTTGCTGCGGATTTGCCTTTTCACCTTTGGGCCTTGGGCTTGGAAAGCACAAACAACTTTTCGAGCCCAGAAAAGTTTTTTTTGTTGCGAGGCACCTTTTGCCACCTGCAGGCACTTTTCAGGGCCCCGAAGCCAAAAAAAGCTCGCGGCGCGGGCTGGAACAAAAACTTAGAAAACAACTTTTCGGGCCCCCAAAAGTTTTCCCCCTCTATGTCACTGCTGCGCCTGTGCAGCAAAGCCTTTGCGCCTTTCAGAGGACCCGCAGCATTCCATGCTGCAAGCTGTTGTTCTGCCGTGCTGGCACCTCTTGCTCGCAGCGCCCGTGCGCTGTCTGCAAAGTTTTCTTGAGCTGTTGCCCCTCTCTGGCCGTGAAAGCTTTAACACCGGCTTCGGGCAGCAACATCAGGATCACATGGTGTAGTGGTATCACACCCGCTCCGCATGCGGCAGGCCCGGGTTCAATCCCTAGTGTGCCCACGTCAATGCTGAGCTTGCGCGGTAAAGCCTTTGCACCTTTCCGTGCAAGCTGTTGCTCTGTCATGCTGGCGCCTCTTGCTCGTAGTGGATCCTCGCAGAAAACAACTTTTCGGGTCCCCAAAAGTTTTCCCCTCCACGTCACTGCTGAGCCTGTGCAGCAAAGCCTGTGCGCCTTTCCAGGCAAGTTGTTGCTCTGTCCTGCCGGCGCCTCTTGCTCGCAGAGGTTCCGCGCGCTTTCTGCAGAAAACAACTTTTCGTGCCCCGAAAGTTTGTTTTCAGCTTTTGGCCCTCCATTGTCTTGCTGGGCCTGCGCAGCAGCCTTTCCATCTGCAAGATGTTGCTTTGTCATGCTAGCGCCTGTTGCTCATCGAGGATCAGGCACGAGCAACTTGTCGTAAGCTATGCGTAAGCTCCATCTTCGAAAAATAGCAAACGTAAGCGACCTTTCGGTTGGCGGAAGCTTTCCGCAAGCGATTGCGAAAGCTGAAGTAATTTCCTTTACGGGTAACAGGGTTTTTTTTCACTGCTCATATGGGTCTGTCTTTCTGGGCGTGCCCTTGTCTCAGTTTCCCAAAGCCTTCCTTTAAACCTTTTTGGTGTTCCCTTCTTGGCTCCCTTTTAGCCAAGGCTCGAAAAGGCTGGCGCCTTTCATGTCCAGATCCTTTCAGCAGGTCGAGGTTATTCAACAAGGGGAAATTATTAGCACAACAACTCATTCTTAGGCTGAGACACACCCGTAAAATAAATAAATACACAAATAGATAACTAGATATTATATATATATATATATACAGATGTGTATATTCATATATATATATATATATATATGCACAAATGCGGAATACTGTGGATGGACGAAATCCTGCACCACCAAAGAAACCCTGGAATGATGATTCCCCTGTAAATGCCAACGGACAACGGTTTCCCATAGTTTTAAAGTGGTGCAGGAATTCGTCCATCCACAGTAGTGCACAATGTGGGGGGACATAAAAGAAGGATGAGCTCTGAATATGCCACAAATCTAGAAGACTGCTGTGTGATCCGATCATTGTACTTGCCCATGACCTTCGCAGGTAAGCGGCTTCTCTTGCACTCGGACGCGGGCTTAGGTTTTGCGTTATTCTATCGGTGGTTTGGGTTGGAACTCCGGGAACCCCTCCACCACCAAACGACCAATTGGACGGAAGCTGATTCAAACCTCATACCTGTTCTCGGCTCTTTGGGGCAGACGTGTCCTTTTTAAGTGAGCCTGGTTAAAAATAGATGGCACTGGTTTAGATGGGTTTTGTTCCATTTACCAGGGCCATCTTTTTTATTGGCCACCTATGCATGTTCGGTTTTCAGTTGTTTTTTTCTTCTTTCCAACGGTTGACCTTTGCCCCACTTAGCCGCCGGGGGTATGACCCTCCGCTGCCTTTTTTGCATCGAAGCCCACCGGAGATCGTTCATAGGCGGCCACGGGGGTTGGGCAATTGGAATTAGGCAAGCAGCCCCTGTTAGCTCCTATTAAAGTTTTGGGTCAGATCCACAAATATGCCATTGTCAGAAGACATGCTTACTTGGGGTTGGGATGGTCGTGAACCCAGCCATTGCCTGGAAAAGGGTATAGGGGGAATTGCAGTTACTAGCTTATTCCTCTAATCCTATTCAAACTTGGCCCCAAAAGCATCCCAAAGCCCGTATGGTACGTAAAAAAAGGCCCCTGCATCATAACAACACGCACGCTACCCCATACGCCCTAGGCACGCCTTTGCACGCCTTTCGATGTGTGGCCCAGGTATACGTCCAGCATGACCTGGTCCCTGGCGCAGCTGGGTGTGGGCAGCACTGAGGTGGAAGCGGTGTCCGAGGTCGAGAGCGCTCCTCGGACTTTTTTTTTTGAGGGCACTCCTCTTTGCTTGGTGGTTAATGTTGACCCCGGATTAATTAGCCCCTGTTTGTCAATATAGGGGGTGTCCGTTTCTGATTTTAGTGAGGATTTATCACCTTTTGAGGGAACACCCCCGTATTAATAAACAGGGGTTTATTAATCCGGGGTCAACATTACAGGGAAACCACAAGAATACCACCCCAACTTTAGGGTTTCCATACTTTGACACCTACCCATCTGCCTGTATCATGTTCAGTCCTTTTTGAGGAGGTAAGTTTGGCAGAAGATATGTCTAAGATGGCTCTCACTACCCCGACTACCCGGATCTTGACACCTACCCAAGATGAGTTCCACTCACCCCAAAACACCCGCAAGATGGTTTCAGTCGAGAAGCCCCTGCATAGCCGCGACATAAGGGGTATATGTGTTCTCCCCTCTGAGCAGTGGAGCCCTTTTAGAGGTAAGCAGGATGCTCTGGAGGGGGGCGGGGGCGGGGGGGGGGTGTGGGGGGTTGCGCTTGGCAAAATCTGTGATAAGCAAAAGTACTCATGGGTCAAGGGCATTTCCGGGTATGGGTTTTGAATGTATGGACGCGCAGATGTACCACCACTATAAGCTTTGGCAGTATATACCCCGAATATATAAGCAGTATATAACCTTTATACCTCCAACACCTCTCGAAAGGGGATGTCCTACTTTGTGTGTCACTGAAGCGTGATTATCCGAAGGTCGGCCATGGTGGGGACAAAAGGAGGCAGGTAGCAAGATCCGTAAAGGAGACACACTTTGGCATGGAATACTACCTAAACCCCAGCTGTTTCAATTGGTTTCTACATGGTTCCCGGTTTAAAACGGGAGAAAAAGGCCCCAGGGGCCTAAATAATTTGAAGGGGTGGTGGGATACTTGAAATTCACGATCGGGGTAAACTACCAGAAATCAGTTCGGCCCTTGTGTTATATACCGTTCCCAAATCGGAACAGGGGAATCCCCAAGTCGGAGACCTTCATCATGGATGAGCTTGGTCCTGCCATCAAACGGTCGTGGTAAAAATGGGACTGGTTCTGTCAATCAGACAGGCTCGAACCTCGAAATGGCTGCAATTTATGTGAAAAAAGAAAAAGCCGTGCCTAATAGGGTCCCTTAAAGGACACACCTAAATATAGCTTTTAGCATCTTTGATTGTTACTCCCAACGGGAAATCCATATATTCCCATACATTCCACTCTAAGGCACATGTATTCTAATCTATACCCAAAGCAATTCTTCACTTTTTTTCATTTTTAGTAGGAGGCTTCCCAAAGCAGAGAGTCTTTTGCTATCATACCAAGGGCAGTTCCCAGCCATCGCCTTAGGTTTGAGGGAGTTTGGCAGGGGATCTGGGGGAAAGCGCCCACACACTGTACCGTTTGCAAGCAGGTGGGCGTGTCTTTTTATTTGGAGGACCCCCCTAACATGTCTTCGTCTTCCTGCTTGGGTTCCCCTAAAAAAAACCCACAAACCTGGGGCACCCAGGTCCGAAGAAAACAAAGGTAAAAGAAGCCGGGCCACCCAAATCTTGCCATATCACTTATGCTTGGGTTCCTGGCCAAGGCCACCCAAGCAGTAAAGTGAAAAGCTTGGGTTACTTGTCTGCCCTCAGATCTCAAAACCGGGTCGGCGCCTCACCGGACATCGACCCCGGGTCCGTAGGTCTACACCGTGGGCGCGGGCTTCGTCTCGGTGCTCTGCTTCGCCATGGTGGTGAGTGCTTTGACCTCCCTGGTGAGAAGCCTCCACGTGAGCCAACAGGAGGAGTTGTGTGCGTGTGTGTCGTGTGTCGTGTGTGTTCCTTTTTTCTTTCGGGGGGGGGGTGTTTGAGGAGTTTTTTTTTTTGGGGGGGGGGGAGTGTTGTTTTTTCATCGTTACTGGTTTCTTTCGTTTTTCTTCTTCTTTTTTCTCTCTTTTTTCAGGTACCCCTTAGTTGGTGGTCTGGTTAGGTGGTTTTTTGAGTCGCCTATTGGTTGCCTTTGCCTCCGTCGCCCTTGGTCGCCCTTTAGTTAGTTGCCCTTTCTGGTTGCCCACTGTTGCTTGACCTGTGTCTGCCCTTTTTTTACGGGCATTTGTTTCACTGGCAAAAAAAAATCAGGGTGAGGCATGTTCTGCATGCCTGCCTGTCAGAAGGTGGGCGGAAGCAAGGAGAATGCCGGCCCTTCCAGAAAACGCGGAAGTTATGGTTGCTTGGAACACTTTGGTTTTGGGCTAGCCCCCCAGGTGATACTAGGACGCGCGCGCGCGTGTGTGTGTGTGTGGCTTTGAAGGCATCCTTTTCAGTTTGGTTAAACGGAAAGGCAGAAGGAAGTGCCACCATTTGGTGGGTTTCCCTCTGTCAAAGATGACAAGGTCCCAAGACATCCTCCTTGGATCTATGGCCCTGGCGGTGAGGATGCAACCGATGTTATCTCTTGGCACTCCCGTTTGCTTTGAACCCCTGGTTGATTTGTTGGTCGGTCTCTACCCAGCAGTGGGTAAGCTGGGTGGCTGAAATTGCGAGGTTTCTTCCTTATGCCAGCTGGTGGTACTTGCAGTGCTAGGGCCAGTCTTTCCAAGATCCATGTTTGCGAACCATAAAAAACAGCTAAGTCACAATCAAAACCCGGGTAACTGGAGGGTAGTCAGGGAGAATAAATGGGTGCGGCCGCCGTTCGATGGTTGAACAGAATGGGGAATCAACCCATAGGGGATCGGTGAGTTCGCGTTCCTCAGGTCTGACCGCATTGGGGCAACATGCTCTGGCACTTGGCCCATTCGGACCATTCGGATGGCCGGGTTCTCCTCATCCCCCTTGTTCTAAACTCGGGGTCTCCTCAAAACAAAGAAGAACTACATTGAGTTGACTGCGCATGGAGCAGAACGCGAAGGCATAAAAAATCTGTGGTGCCCCCGAAAATGGGCCGAGACAGACCTCCCCTGGTTCCAAACAGAGACCTATGAGCAAGACGAAATGTGGAAGGGGCAGAGTTGCCTGGTACTCAGCACAAATTCGAGTTCTTCACTGTGGCCCATTGCCGGAGACTTTGTTTTGAGATTTGGACTCAAGGTTTCCTTCGATCTCACTCCCTGAGAACAATTGGACTTTAACGCTTTTTTGCGTTTGGACCTCTTTAGTGGTAAGCCAAACAGTTCGGTTACTTGTGTTAGCCAGTGCGCTGGATCGGAAGCGAGGTGCGGCAGGCAATTCTGGACCGGACTCGCGCCAGGAGAAGACTCAGTTCCGGCAGCTCCGGCAGTTCCTGTGGCAGAATCAGATCCCCACGCCGTTGGGCAAGCGCGTGACGCGGTACCTGCGCTACGCCAACCAGGCGACAGGGGGCGAAAGCGGCCGCGGCGGCCTGGGCTGCTTTTTTTGTTTTTCCGGTGGCGGTGGCGGTCTGAAGGTCTTGTTTCGGGATTTGGGTGAAAGCGCAGGGGTTGCAGCTTTCTTTTCTTCCAAAATGGGTTGTTTTGAAGGGCTGCGGAGCCGGTCCGGGTTCATTGGAGGGCCCGGTGGCCTCATTCCCGCTACTTTTTACTCCACTTTTTTTTTGCGGGGTGGATCTGCGCTCAATCCCCCTTGTTTTATATCATGTTCAATTCTCGGCTCATCTTCGGAAACCAACGCCGCGCGAAGCGCCGGAGCCCCGGAGCTCTGCGCAGGAGGCTGCGGTGTCGCGTGCCGCGGACCGGCCCGCGATCCTGGAGAAGCTGTCGGTGCCGCTGATTGGGGAGCTCCTGCGGCACGGCGAAACGCGGTCAGTGCGCTGGCGACGTTTTTTTTTGGGCGCGTAACATGGACACGTAGGAATTTTGGGCGCAAAAGGCCCTGACAGGACACAAGAAGGGGATGGTTCAGTTTGGGGTCATTCCCGAAATCGGCTGAGAACCAGCCAGCAGCAGTGGCAAAGTAGACCCGGTGTCCATCATAATTACCCGGGGCGGTGGTAGCAGTCGCGGGGGCATGTGGCACTTGTTTCGCACTTTGGCATTTTGAATTTTAAAGACAAAGGACCCCAAAGCTGCTTAGCATCATTTTCGTTGCCCTTTAAAGCCGCCCAAAAACCCAACGCGCCAGGGGGCGTCAGGGGGGGGCATCGGTTTGTGATTTTGTTGCCAGCTTCGACTTGGGCTTGGTGGCCTCATGGCGCGCGCACCGGGGAGCAACAAGTCAAGCGACACGCACCTGTTTAAGGCGAGCCATTTTTTGGTTTCCAGACTTTCGGGTCAAATCCCCCGCCCAGGCTCTAAACGCAAGTGCGGGAATTCGCATGGAAGCACAAGGGAGGGGGGGAGGTCTGACCAACAAAGCCGTGCCTTTTCTTTCGATGTGCGTGGTGGTATTTTTTTTCTTCGTGTTGAGGGAGTTTCCCAGTCAAGCAGGCGTGTTTTAAAATGGGCATCCCATGAACTCCCACTTCTTATTCAGCGGGGTCTCCTTTGCAGTCGAGCTTCCTTTTTGCAGGGGTCAACATTTCTGAGTCTCAGATGATGACGCCCTGGGATTGAATCCGAAGCGTAGCCCTGGGTTTCCTTGCCCCCCATGAAAAGCATGGCCTTGGGACCGAAATTTCTTCATCTAGGCTCCCGAGACCGGCGTCTTTGGGGCTCAAAGGCCTTGGTATTTAGGGTCCAAGGGGCGCCTAGGGTTAAGTAAAGCTAGTGGTGCTTTTTGTTATGTAACCCCCTGTGATTTAGGCGCCGGTACATAAACCCCAGGCTTAGGCTTGCCGTGCCGAGGTTCACCAAGCACAAGCGCAGCCTCGGCAAGCTGCCGTTCCTGCGGCTTGCTTATGCTCGGGCTCGCGAGGGGGGGGGGGGTCGTTTTTTGGTTTTTCTTTCTTGGGGGGTCCTTTTTTTTTGCTTGGTCCCAGTTTTGTTCGGCCTTCTTTTGGAGCTCTATTTTTGATGATCCTTCATTTTTTTGAGGGAAGGATTCCTTGAGCAAGAGATAGGCTGTGTGCCTGGGAAAAAAGCAGCACCCCATCACTTTTGAATTTCCTGCAGCGGAATGCAGGGTTTGCTTCATCCGGAAGCTGTGAGGTTGCATATTCTACCAGCTAGAGGTTGGAAGGGAGCCGTTCCGGAGCTAGGGGGAACCAAATTTGCCAATAACAAGAAAGAACCTGTCGATGTCGGAGCTACCGCTTGGAGCTCTGGTTTGACATCATGGTAGTTTAGTTGACCGGCGAAAGTTCGTTGCCTTGTCAAGCCGGCGTGGCGTGTGTTTTTGTTGCATGGCGGATTCACTTTGGTCGAGGGCCCTTTGAGTCTTGCAAGCTTTCGCCTTCTTCCATCTCATGTGTCATCTCTATGATCACCTTTCAGCCTCCCAAAAAAAAACGCGTCAAAGTGGTCCATCTTGCAAGAGATCTCCTGTCTTCCCCATCTTTTGCAAGACTCCAAAAAGAGGACTCATCTTTTGAAGAGATCTCCTGTCTTCCCCCATCTTTCCGGCGGACGCTCTTCCCATTTCTTTTTTTGGGGGAAGCCGGCGGCCTCCGAGGAACCGCTTGGTCCTTGAAACGGGGGAGATCAGCCTGCAGGAGAAAACGCCGGGACCGTTTTCTATGGCGAGAACCCGCTAGGTCTTTCGGGCGAGTCGTGCCCTCTCTCTCTTTCAGCCCCTTTTTTTTGGGGGGAGGAAACCCCCCTACTACAATAGACTAGAGAAAAAAAAGGTTTCCCTTGTTTTAACCTCTCTGCTGGAGGACCTGGGTATGGGGGAATGAACCTTATCCGCCAGTTGGATGGTTTCTAATTCGGGGTCATTCCCACATTCCGCACTTCTCGCACCGGCGGGTAAGCTTTACACGTTCGCGAGCAACCGCTCGAAGTCCGTTCTTGGTTGTGAGCCGGGCTCGGGAGCGCCGAGCTTGGGGTATCCACATTTGCCGATATGTCTTGTGGGAGCGATTGGAGTTCTGGTTAGGGACATGGTAGACAAGCTTCCGATCTCGCCAGGGGCATCATCTTTCCCGCAGTAGGTTCCTTCGCCCCCCCCCCCCCAAAAAAAAAAACACAAAAACGGGGCGGTTTCCACCATAGGCCCCACCTGGTCCACCGCTACGCCAAACGAAGCAAAGGGTTTCTGAAATGCATTGCGCTAAGGGGGGAGGGACCCCTTGGAATCCACCGACCCCAGTGGTGGAAACGCACCCGTGGGGACTTCCTGCAAGAGGTTGGTCAGAGTCGGTGGTGCGAATTGGTGGTGCAACCACGCGCAAGCAGCATGTGGCATCGTTTCGTAACATAACATAAGGGTAGTAATCATCAAAACTGGAAGGACTGCCTGACTTCTAAAAGTATCTACGGGCATCCTTTTTTATTTATTTTCGTTTGTTTGTTTTTGATCATCATAAACCTAGCTTTCATCGTTGGACGATGTTAGAAAGCCTTTTGTTGAATAGCTTCCGAGGGAGAATCGACTCACAGGAGAACTATGTCCTGCACCACCTGTCGGTCCACGCCATCTCGATTCTGGACCTCGGCGGCTCGTTGCAAAAATCGCGGCCGGGCATTGGCCCTGGCCTCCGAGGTCCGAGGGGTCTCGGACCGTGCCAGAAAGCGGAAGCAACGGGACGGAACGAGTGTCTTCGGAGGGGTGTTGAAGTTTTTTTTTTTTTTTTTTTTTTTTTCAATCCTGAGTCTATGTGTTTTCGCTATGCTTGCGGAATCCTTCCGGAGTGCAAAGGGGGTTGTCGATGCCAACCCCGCAGGGGTGTGCTAGACTTCCCTCCCCGAGACCTGAGGCGAGGGGGAGATGGTCTTCTCCGCGGGGGAGGCGGCCAACCGCAGCTTCCTGCCGCAGAGCGGGCACTTCCAGTACATGCGGCTCCAAAGGTCCTCCAGCCCAGCTGGGGGCCCAGGTTGTCCGAGGACGAAGGGCTCCGGCTCCCGATGTTTGGGCGTGTGTTCTTTGGAGGGTGCCCTTGTTGGGTCGGCTTTGAACGGGAAACCAAAGGGACAGCTGCACGTTTTTGAGCAGCCTATTCTGAGTCTTTTGCCCATTTCATGAGTTTGAGCTCACCGATCTGGGGGGAAAACCCGCCAAGATGTAGGTCCTCCACGTGGGGAGCAACAAATACACGAGCAAAGAGCTGGTCCTTGCAAAAGCTCTTCCAAGCATTCGTTGCAATCCGCCTCGATCGGTTTCCCAAAGGGATGCTTGCTTTGGGTGTCCTTCCAAAAGTCGGAAACCATGGCGGGAAGGGTCCTCGATTTTGAGGAACATCGAGGGCTTCTCAAAAAGTCGTTTGGAGTCCCGGGGGTTCCCTTGAAGCCATTGAGCTCAGAAGCCTGCCAAGGCCACGAGTGCCCAAAAGAGTTTGGGGATTTGAAACCCTGCCCAAAAGCGTTGGGGATCTGAACTCCGTGGTTCTTGTTGGGGGTAAAAATGGAACCCACTTTCGGAAGACCTCCACACCGCCGGGCTCCACACCACCCAATTTTTCGAGGTGCCACACCCATTCTGACTTTTCTTTGGTGCATGTTGCTTGGATGTTGGGACTTTCACTTTTTGCCAACTTTCATGGGTTTTCCAATTAAAATCCACTAAAAGTTTGAACAAACTTTTAGCAGGGGAGCAGAAGGCCACCGAGTTTTCTCAACGGGCCGCAGGTGGACAAAACCTTCTGGATTGCGGAGATGTGCCTCTGGACACCTTGGAGCTCCTTGGAGCTCGGCTTCGGTTCGGCTTCGGAGCCCAAACGCTGCGAGGCATTTTTCGAACACTGGCGGGTTTTTGGGGCAACGAAACCAACGCTTGGTTGTTGGGAAACATTGGACACATTTTTGCTTATTGTGGCTTAGTGGTTGAAATCCAACCACTCAACTGCTAGAATTTGATAATTTTTGCTCCCCTTCCAACGTCACCCAAGAACGAGCAGGGGATGCCATATGACCAGTTCGTGCGACCCGAAAATTCACATGCCCGTTGATTTCTACGCCTTTGGGCATTGCTGCCGTTTGCTGGGTAGCACTTTCCCTCAACTTGTGCAACTTGTGCCGGGAATAGTACTTGCCAATGTCAGACTTGCTTTTGCCAGGAAAACACTTGACTTGATTCATGTGTGTTGTGCTTCCTACAAGTATAAGCACTGCTTGTTAGTATGCACATGCTGTTTGGGGCCAACGTTGGTCGAATTTGGCAGATTATGCAAAACTTATGGGCATTCATCAAGACCACCTGCACACAAGTGGCACAAAGTTGCACCAGGATCCCCAAAGAAGCCCCCCAGTGTTCACCCCATGTGCTTTGATCGCCTTCTTTGCCGTTCTTCCAAATTAGTCAATGCTCAGTTGCTTTGTCGTTCAGTCCGCTAATTGGAGGCAACCTGTTGTAAAAAGGTTCTGACCTCAGTGATTCTCACCATAGCCGGGCCGAACATTCAACCACGTGTAGCCGACCTTTTGAAGCGAGTGTTTGGTTGCCCTCCCAAAATGGTTTAGAACACGACAAGCTGTCATGTGGAAATGTTAGCATGGATGAATTGTCCAGTCACTTGCCCCCTTGTGTCATCGTTCTCCTTTCCGCAGAATGGACATGGCGCCTGCCTGCGCCTTGACTTATTTCCTCCTGTTTCTCCCCTCGCCCATCATTTTCCACAGAATTTCTCCGCCCTGATCACCATTTTGTAAATCTCATTTCGGGAAATGGAGCCCCCTCCAATAATTGGCTCCAATAGGTTCCATCTTAACTTGAAGCCGGGTATCTTTACTCCGGGGTTCTGGGCTCCCGGGCTCCTACGCGGCTGGAGGCTACACGGGGGACCTGGTCTCCGGAGACTTCTCGCGCCTGGCGGTCCTGGACGCCAAAGGCTTCCGGGAGTGCGTCGCCGCAGTGCCGCAGATGCAGAGCCAGGCCGCGGGAGGGCGATGGGCGCGTGTCGCATGTTCTTGGTGAGATAGGCAGGGGAGGTTTCATGGAATGACCTCGGAGAAAACAAAAAAAACCACACACCAACCAAAAAAACTTTAGAGCCTCCGGCTCAGTCCGCCGACATTGTCCTCTCCCTTTTCTCCTTCTTCCTCTCTCCCTTGTCTCCCTGGTGTGTTCTGTCGTCCTTTCTCCCTCCCTCCGCTCCCCGTTCTCCCCATCCCCCGAAGCCACTCTCTCCCCAGTCTCCCTCTCTCGTATGTATGTATGTATGTAGGCATGTATATATGTATGTATGTAATGTATGTATGTATGTAAGTATGTATGCATGTATGTATGTATGTATTTATGTATGTATGTAAGGTAGGTAGGTATGGTAGGTATGTATGTATGTATGTATGTATGTATGTATGTATGTATGTATGTATGTATGTATGTATGTATGTATGTATGTATGTATGTATGTATGTATGTATGTATGTATGTATGTATGTATGTATGTATGTATGTATGTATGTATGTATGTATGTATGTATGTATGTATGTATGTATGTATGTATGTATGTATGTATGTATGTATGTATGTATGTATGTATGTATGTATGTATGTATGTATGTATGTATGTATGTATGTATGTATGTATGTATGTATGTATGTATGTATGTATGTGTATGTATGTATGTATGTATGTATGTATGTATGTATGTATGTATGTATGTATGTATGTATGTATGTATGTATGTATGTATGTATGTATGTATGTATGTATGTATGTATGTATGTATGTATGTATGTATGTATGTATGTATGTATGTATGTATGTATGTATGTATGTATGTATGTATGTAATGTATGTATGTATGTATGTATGTATGTATGTATGTATGTATGTATGTATGTATGTATGTATGTATGTATGTATGTATGTATGTATGTATGTATGTATGTATGTATGTATGTATGTATGTATGTATGTATGTATGTATGTATGTATGTATGTATGTATGTATGTATGTATGTATGTATGTATGTATGTATGTATGTATGTATGTATGTATGTATGTATGTATGTATGTATGTATGTATGTATGTATGTATGTATGTATGTATGTATGTATGTATGTATGTATGTATGTATGTATGTATGTATGTAATGTATGTAATGTATGTATGTATGTATGTATGTATGTATGTATGTATGTATGTATGTATGTATGTATGTATGTATGTATGTATGTATGTATGTATGTATGTATGTATGTATGTATGTATGTATGTATGTATGTATGTATGTATGTATGTATGTATGTATGTATGTATGTAATGTATGTATGTATGTATGTATGTATGTATGTATGTATGTATGTATGTATGTATGTATGTATGTATGTATGTATGTATGTATGTATGTATGTATGTATGTATGTATGTATGTATGTATGTATGTATGTATGTATGTATGTATGTATGTATGTATGTAATGTATGTAATGTAATGTAATGTAATGTAATGTAATGTAATGTAATGTAATGTAATGTAATGTAATGTAATGTAATGTAATGTAATGTAATGTAATGTAAGTATGTATGTATGTATGCATGTAATGTATGTATGTATGTAGGTCTGTCTGTCTGTCTGTATGTATGTCTGTATGCATGTATGTATGTATCCTTGCACTTCCCCTTGGCTCCCCAGTATTTCCCGCAAAATACACGGTTTTTCTAGCGTTTTCGCAAAGAGGATGTCCAAAAACACAGAGTTTTGCCAGATTTTCGGCAAAAGGATGCAGGAAGCCCAAGCCAGCAAAAAAGCCGGCAGGGGGAATCGAGCCTGGGACCCCTGTTTTGCGACACCGGCTCCCCGAAGACTACGTTTAGTGGAACGTCATCAAATTGCCGCGCGGTACGTGGGGGACCCCCCCCCCCCAAAAACCTACGTAATAGACGTCGGGCGGGGGGGGGGTTAGGGGGGGGGGTTATCCTCTATCCTCTCTTAGGTATCCGACACGCCGAGCAATGTCGGCGGACATCTCCGATTCCCCGATTGGGTTTGGGAGTTCCGCACTTTCTGGCTGGTGCGCTGGGCATCCGAAGAAAATGTATCTCCAATTCCCCGACCGGGTTTCCTTTCTTCGGAGATCGCCAACACCGGTTCATTCCCAGCAACCGGAAGGTCATTCCCTACTGAGCACCAGCAAGTCTTGTTCGCCGTCCGACCTCTTCAGAAATGGCTGGGCGCGAGAGGCCAACAACATGTGCCAACTGGCTGATGCTCGCATGACTTGACCCGAATCTGAAGTAAAGGAAGCACCAAGACGGGTGGCTCGTCGTTTAGAATTCGGATCCACCAAAACGTGTAAATGGGTTTCCTTTCGGTGGTCGTTACAACCAAAAGCAAGCCCTCAAGAAAGACCCCCCCTCTTTTGCTCTCCGCTCAAAGGGGTTTTCTCAAAATGGGACCCCGCTCGTCCGGTTCTATGATTCCCTAGCCTAGGTACCCGGGCCAGCCCAAGAGCCCAAGAGTCCAAGAGTCCAGGTTTTTAGGTTTTTGGGCAACAACCCGAGCAGAGGCGGCGGTGGCTCCACCAAAAAGCAGCCCGAACGAGAAAGCAAACAACAGCCGCAACCAGGGAGCCCACGCAAAACAACACTCCAGTGGCTCGCCCAAGTTCCAGTTGGCCCACGGGGCCTACAGAAGGTAGTGGTTGGAAGGGAGCCGTGACCCGGAGCTCAAATTTGCCGATCGGAGGGAGCGGTTCAGGGAGCCACCGATCGGAGTCCTGGTTTGGGACGTGGCTTCGGATATCCCAAGAAAATCGCGGTGGTTTCTTGGTGGCTCCCAGCCATCCCCTTAGCCTTTTAGCCTTCTATTTAGTGGAGATTCCATGGAATGCACTAAAAGTTGAACTGTTAGCGGAAGACCTGAGGACAGCCCTGGTTGAGTTGGACCCCTGGCTCTGGTAGAACTGGGGGAAAGAAACCACCGCAGCCAGCGAGCTGATGCTTTGCGGTGGACAGGCCCACTTCTACGCGCAGGGCAGCTCGAATATGAGGGCTCGGAGCGCCGAGGGTTCAACCTGGGCGGTTTTTTGCGTGGGCTTTCTCCGTGTTTCGCGAGGCCCGGGAAGCTTTTTTGGGCTTCAAGAGCTTCCGTTTGTTCAAGAACATGTTTTATTTTTTCTTGTTGGGTTTAAAAGGAATCGATCACCTCTGGCGAATATGACTGGAGTTCTGGGATGCACCTTTGGCAATAATGTTGACCCCGAAAAAATAAAAGAAAAAAAACAAAAAAACAACAACAAACAAAACCTGTTTATTGATATGGGTCCCGGTGTCCCTGGTTTAGTGGGATTCATCACTTTTGGAGGGGCCTCCACCCCCAAAAGTAATAAAAGGGGTTTATTAATCAGGGCCTTAAAAGATACATTTTGCCCATTTGAAACATGGCTTTTTCCGCCAAAATAAAGGGACGCAACCATTTACAAGGCAATGTTCAGGTGTATAATGCAAGGATCCCTGTTAATCTGGGGTCAACATCAGCGAGGGAGTGATCAAAATGATGAGGCTACGTGGATGCGCTGAACGAGGAGCAGGACAAGTCGGATGTCTGGTTCTTCGGTATCGTGGGGCAGGCGGGGGGGTTTGCCCAAACCCATCGCCGCTTTTTCGGGTTCCTGCGGCCGAGAAGGAGAAAAAAACAGCAAAAACATGGGGTTGCTCAAAGGGTCCTTTACATGGGATGAAGTTACCCAAGGTCATTCGGGGGCCAGGAAGAACTCAAACAACACCGACACAAAGGGACCCTGTTTTGTTTTGACCTTATTTGTGGTTTTTTAAATGGAGATCAAAAGGAACTCCGAAGCATTTGTTGTTCCCTGATTGGATGTTCGGCCAAGTTAGTAAGTGGCTAGCCGCCTAGGTTGTGAACTCAACTGAACGGCTGAACTCCAGTGAACGGGGAAAGTAACCCAGGATCTAGGTGCCAAACCACGTGCTGCACAGGTACCCTTGATCTCCCACTAGGAAATCTGGCTTTCTAGCTTGTGCGTACCCATGGATCTGAGTTTTTTTTTGATTTTTAAGGCAGGGGCACCTAGGAGTACATGCTTGGGACCTGCGATAAGTTCGTAGAGATTTGGTGGGGAAGGTTGGCCCAAAAAAAACGGGGCCCACACATTTTTCTGCCCCCCGAACGCGGGGAAGTTCGCTGGCTGAAATCGGGACATTCGCTTGGCTTTCAAAGAACATGGCAACCCCGGAAATATTTTTCAAGAACAAGGAGCCATTCGTTTTTGTCTCTTTTTGGGGATGATTCGGGGGATTTCAAACTGGATGGTTTCCCTTTGGTTTCCCTTGCAATCACTCAAGGCAGGTCACCCTCCACAAAACACCCCCCCTCCCCCGTTTGTAGGGAACCGCAAAAAAAAGGGGCTATAACCTGCACAGGCCAGCGCTCCCTACATTTCCCTTGTGGCTACATGTGGGCCTTCAAGCACGGGAAATGCCGATGCAACCCCCGAACCCTTGGCCCCCAATTAACAAAAATAAAATAATGATTGACCCGATTTGGATGAGATGCTTGAAGGGTACATAAGGTCCTTTGAAGTGCCTTCGTTTCGTTTTGCTAGAGATGGATATACAATTCCCCCCTTTGATTTCATTGTGGTAACTGAACCGATGAATTTAGCACAGCTTGTCACTCTTGGTTGCAGCTGAATTTCACTGAAATGTGCTCCCAAGCACAGCTTGTCTCATTCAAAAAGCACAGCGTGCTTCTCTGTCTGAAGAAGGACATGCCTTGGCAAAGCCTGCACGTGTTTCGAGATATTCTAAAGCAGCGGGCCTCGCCTCGCCTGCGAGGCGAGTTTGCTCAGCCGCCCCTCCGCCTCCCCGTCCTTCGCGGCGGCCGCGGCCGGGGCCAGCGCTGTGGCCAAGGCAGTGGGCGACGGGGCCCAGACGCTCAAGGCGAGGGTTGGGACGTCGGGAGACGTGTGGCCATGGGTCAGATTGAATGGGATCCCGTTTTGGGGCAGGTGAATTCACCCACCTATTTTAGAACCTAATTTAGTGGGGGAGTGGGATGTTCACTGGGGGTACGGGGTTTGAGCCACAATCAAGGGCTAATAATTGGTGGTTTGGACTGGTCGTTTGGGTTTGAAAATCGAAGCCCTGGTGCATTAAACCAGCAGCTTTGCACATGGCCGCGGGTCAAACCCGCGGCCGGAAGCTGGCCGAAGAATGACAATGGCAACCCTCTCTTGTTTGAACAGGTTTGAGCGGGGTCCCTGAATAGGACAATTTGGGTCAGTCAGCACATGACCTGTACCAGATGGTTTAGAGGATCCCCTTGTAAAGCAGGTGGTTTTTTGGGTGGGCCGAAACTGACCAAACAAATCCGCACACATTGGCGGACACTGTTGATAAAAACAAAAACACGTTTCAACGCTTGCTTCACGTACGTTTCAGCACCCATTTTGAACCACGCGAGGAAACGCATTGAAGCACCCACGCAGCCCGTTTACCACGCCGCCACTTTTTTTCTCCGGCACTCGCCGGGCTCCCCCCTTGTTCTCCGGGGGTCAGGTCCGCTGCTGTTGCCGGAGACGATCGCGGAAAAGAAAGTCCAAGAAGCCGAAGGCCGTGGTGCCCACGCCCTGAACGAGTGCCCTCGTCTCAAGCGAAGTCGGCGCAACGCCGCAAGTCGGCCCAGGTCGAATGGTTTTTTGCGGGAACCCGGCGGTTGTGGGGTGCAAATGCAGGCTGGGTGCTTGGGGGCCCAATCGGTTCGAAGGGAGCGCCGAGCCGAGTTGGACCGAAACCGCCGTGCCGAGTACTTCTTCGCGCCTGTCCGGCTTGTGGGCGGCTTTTTGGTGCCATGCGGGCCAACAATGAGTTGCCAAGGCGCCTGTGTGGCTAAAATTGTAGCCACAAATCGTTCGAGTTTTTGGCAACGTGACGCCAACATTTTTGCCCATTTTCCGTAGCCCGCGAATGGTGGGGGGTGTCTCAAAAACCAAGCCCTTCTGGTTGGTTCTTAAAGGGAACCGCAAAGAAAGCTAGACTCAGACCATTTGGAGACCGCCATTCTGAGACAGGGCAGTCCTTTGTAGACTACCTTATGGGCAAAGTCTGCAACGGTGTCACGGCTTTCTCTTGGAGGTGTGCTCCAACTTTGTCGAGAAGGTGTCGACAGAATCGACCCCCGTTTTGAGAGAACCGCTGAATCGTTTTGGCACCCAGTTCTCACTCCACCGACGAATTGCCGGTGCTTAGTGACTTAGTGTCATGGCCCTAAATGGCCTTGGCTTTTGCGCATTCTGCGTGTGGGCTTCCTTACCAGCCCCTTAAGGGATGTTATTTCTTTTTTCTTTTTTGCCAATTAGTTTTTTCCATTAAACCTCCAACAGTTAAACTTTTAGCAGGGGAGCAGAAAGCAACCGACTGAGTCAATGTGTTTTGGAGGTCCCACCTCTCCTGGCCTGGACACAGATTCCTCGTATAGGAATGAGTTCCGCTCGGCTGATGGACGTCGGCAGTCAGATTTTTCGGCGGCCCGAATGGGCTCGATCACTGTAGGGGTACCTTCCCCATTCTTTCCAGAGATCCTTCTTATCAGGAAACCATCACAAACTCAGGGGAAACAGATCCGGTTCTTGAAAAGAACGATGGTTGAAAAGAAGGGGGAATCAACCCCGAGAATCACAAATTTTGGGATGCCTTCGTCTAATCCTGAAGGCTGCAAGCGATCGGAGCGCCTTCCAGGCATCCCATGAGAAGAGGCTCCTTTTACACCGTTTCTTGGGGCGTTTTTCCTGGTGGCATCATGTGTTGCACGACGCGTATTTACGTCGCACATGTCTGTTTAATGTGCACATGCAGGCAGTATAGCCACACAGAAATGACATGCATGCATGGATGCATTCTGGTATCGGCATGCACGAATGCACATAACAATGCATCAAGGGCGTGTACACATTATATAATGCAGTTATGGACATGGATGCATGCACATACATCAGCTGTGTGTAGGCATACTTGCACATGTGCAGCCACACATCCATGCATCCATGCATCCATGCATCCATGCATCCATGCATCCGTCCATCTATCCATTATTCCATTCATAAATCCATCCATCCATGCCTCCATGCACAACCATGCATCCATGCACATCCATGCATCCATGGATCCATGCATCCATGCATCCATGCATCCATCCATCCTTGCTTCCGTCCACCCTTCTATCCTTCCCTTCCATCCCCTTCCATCCTCTTCCATCCTCTTCCATCCTCTTCATCCTCTTCCATCCTCTTCCATCCTCTCCCATCTTCTTTCATCCATCCTTCCATGCACGCAGAGACACACATGCATGCAGACACATGCGCACACGGACTGACAATTTAGCTCCAGTGACCTGGCTGAAAGGGAAGGACACAGTTGGCAACCTGCCAGGGAAGGTTCAGCAAGAGAGAGCCAGTTCTGGACCTCATTTGCTGTCATGATTGCCCTGAGAGAACGCGGCTCGCGCCAATCATTCTCGCATTCTCACCGTGACTTTCGGTGCTACCGCGGTCCACAGGCCAGCCTCGGCCCCCTCGGCCGAGGTGCAGGAGACCTTGCTTGTTGCAACCTAGATACTTGTTACTGTCAGAGGCTAGCAACGAATTGTTGCTTTTAGGGGCAAGCTTCCTGCGTCCCTGCGAAACGGTCCTGGATTTTCGTGGGAAGCCGGGTGCCAAGACTCCCGAATTTTGCGTTCTCCCGCAGATCTGGAACTCCGGTGACACGGGGCGGGCGGGGTGAAGATGCCCCAGCGAAGGTGGAGAAAGGGGCTGGAGGAAAGGCGTCCTTTCGGATGCGTCCGCCTGAAGGACTTGAACTGCGATATTGTGGCAAAATCCGTGATGTAGCGCCATGAGAGCATGCCAAAGTGAGCAGACATGCAGGCAAGAGCGGCGACATCTTCAGGAGTGGAAAAGATGTTGGAAACTCCGGCTTTCCCATTGGCTCCGGCACAGGTTCTTCACAATACAAGGGCTTGTGCCTTGCGAACGCTTCCCCGGCATGGGTTCAACATGTTCACCAGGTGAATCGCTTAGGGCAACTAGGAGGCTTGCGGGTCTTTCCCTGAAGGCCCGCTGCGAAACCGGGATTAGCGGATTTTGGATCCCTGTCTCACAGTTTAGAGGGGCCTATATAAGGTTTCCTGAGTGCATGGGCGTGTGTTTGAATAGGATGCCCACACGATTTGGTGGTGTTTTTCTTAGCCAGCCCCAGAAAGGGTGCCGAACCTCAACAGAATCTTCCATTGCCTTAAGAATGTGGTTTATTTTCCCCTGCTGGTTGTAAAGGGAATCTATCATTTCTGGATATGTTTGAATGCTTTCTGGGGGGGCTTCAGCGAACGGAACAAAGGACGCCCCTTACGTTAGCTGCAGGGGCGGTCAGCCACCCGCGACCCGCAGAGCTCGTGTTTAGAGCGGTCGAGACCCTAGGCCGCCAGTATTTGTTTTCTCCCAAACTAGACAAATGCCAGCTTTATTCAGCTTCCCCCTCATTGGTGGTTTGGATTTGTGGCTGTGGGTCAAAAACATGTACCCAAAATGGAACCCTGGTAAATGGAAACATGGGTTTGGAACATGTTCCGGGGTGGTTTCCCATGTAATTCCCCTCTACACATTAGGCCCCGCCCTCGGGCGGGCAGCATGGCGCGCTCATGGCGTTAATCCTCTCGCTCCTCGCAGTGTCCCTGGCCGCTTCGGCCGCAGCGGTGGCGGAGTATAGTCGGGGTCGGGCGCAGCGACTTACTTGAGTTTGTTTCTTCTTCTTTGTGCTTGGTTGGTTCTAAGAGGAAGCCACTAGGAACCCCCCCTAGATATTTTCGGGCCCCCTAGTCTTACAACAAAGCAGCAAGTGCCAGCGTTTCGCATTTTTAGGAAGGCAGGTGCCTTCCTCGGCCAAGGTGATTGTCCTTTGCCTCAGTGACACCGGTGAAGCCCATGGTTTGTCAGGCCTACTTTGGCCTGACAAGGAAGACTTGGCAGGCACCGGAGTCCAGGAAGTTGCGGGGCTGGCAGGCATTCAAGAAAGCCGGGGCGGGGGGGGGAAAAGGGGGGGGAGGGGGGGAGGGGTCCCAAACTTCCCCCCCTTTTTCTTGCTGGTGCTCAGGGAAGGGAATGAGACATGGAACGACCCCGAAAAAGACCATCCCCGAAAAAGAGTGTCCTTGATTCGGGACTCCCGACTCCCCTTCCGGTTCGTTCCCAACACCCGGAAGGTCGGTTCTTTTGGTTCAGACCCAAATGGCACCCAGAGCTTTCCGGCATCATTTTGCCGCGAGCCTCTCCACTTTCTCGGGCGTGGCCCCTTTGGATGGCAGGAGGCCAAGTTGGAGGGAACCCTTTCAGGCACGACCATTTGAGTCTGTGTTCCTGTCTTTTTCTCCGAGGGTATCCTTTCAGCCTTTTTTGTGTTTTTTTTTCTTCTCATTTTTTTCAGCATTTTTTGTGTTCGCTTCTTTTTTTTCCCCCCGAGGGTTCCCTTTTCAGCTGGGTTTCAAGGGAGCCCAACAAGGGACACCGCCGGGTTTCTTGGCCAAGGCTGATGGCTCCTTCGGCGGGCTCCTTCGGCTCCGGAACCAGTCGAAGTTCTCCAGGGGTCCAACCCTCCCCCCCCCCCCACCGAGTCACATTGAGCCTGGCGTTTTTGTAGGGTTGGGCCCCGGTTTGGTTTTCCATTTTTTTCTTTTTTTTCTCCTTGTAGAGGGTTTCATTGGGAAACCGACCCTCAAGAAGACTCTTGATGTAAGGAGCTTTACTTTTTTTGATGTTTGCCTCCCTTTTATGCCCCTGAAAAGTGAAAAGGGGTCAGACAAGTAAACGCTTGTGTTTGGCCTTCATGTCCGATGGGTTGCCCCTTCAGAACTTCAACCCTGAAAGGAACAAACTCTGCCTCTGGCGCAAATTCGGGTTGTCCAGATGAACCCCCCAGACTGCAAAACGCTTGGTCGATGAATAGGAGGGGTCCTACACTTCTGGAAAGAATTCCGGTTAATCCACGAGCGACACCAAGGAAAAGCCATCTGACGGGCTGACGGGATACCTCTTGTTCTCAGAATCGGCATTTCACGGTACCCTAAAACCACCGGATTTACCAGGATCCGGATCCGCTTATCAGCTTCCGGCTTGGAGACTGGAGCAAGTGACCAAATTTCGACCAGGGCAGGCATCACTTTCCGGTTCTTGGCAAGTTCTTTTTTTTGGAAGGTTTTTGGTTCTGTTCAATTTTTAGGTTTGGGGGCTGCAAAGAACTTTTGTTTTGCAAGCCCATACCAAGGAGTGTGAAGATCAGTTTGCAAGTGACTGGAGCTTTCCACAGCGAATTCCAGGCCCTGCCGGAATTCGCACAGTTTCAACTTCTAGCTAGATTTCTTCATGAATTTAGTGAAGTCGGAACATGGTTTTCATTTTCTCTGGCCGGATCGTGAAGTGACTAGGTCTGGGGGTAGCTTCCCCATTCTTTTCAGGGATCCTTTTTCTGCACCAGCCAAACAAGCTCTGGGTTTGGAGAAGACGGATGGCTTGAGAAACTAACCCAAGGCTGTCCGGAAGGTGGGGAGCGACCCTAGGGTTCAACCCCCATGAGAAGAATGGTTGACCCAATTTGGATGAAATTCCTGAGGCAAATCATTGTGGCTAGAGCAAATTCCTTTGACTTCATGGCGGTTTGAACCTTGGGGAATTTCTTTCGGAAGCAGGGAATGGAGGCAGGGAAGAACGCCAGAGAAAAAGTTGGAGTCAGAGGTTGAGAAGAGACCCCTGAAAAAAAGAGAAAGAAAGGCTGAGGTGCAAAGGTGCAAAGCCAGGGTTGACGCCCAGACTGTGTCATTTGTTGATGAATTCCGGGTCAAGTCCCCAGACTCATTTTATTGGGTTTGACTTTTCTGTTCTGGCCATTACTGCCAACTCGGGTTGATTAATCTCAGGTCAGACATCGGGAGGCAAAGCTTTGGAGTCAGAGGATCCCAGAAAAGAAAACGAGCTGGAGTCAGGGGTCGACGAATTGGGGGTTTCTGTTTGATTTACAGGGGCGTTAAATATTCATATGGGTTAGTCTTTCCCTGCATCTATACATATATATATATAGCTGTATACAATGGTGGTTCTCTTTTTGGCGTCCCTTTCAAAGCAACCCCAAAAGGGGAGTGCACCCTCGAAAGAGACATTTTTTTTTCATTCCGCTTCAGGTGCGAGGTCCCGATCCCCAGCGCCTTCAGTTGCCAAGATCTGGAGCTCTGGCGCCACTTCTCGACGCTGCTCCAGGCCAATGCGAAGAAAGGTGCGGTTTGGTCGGGCCGGGCGGCCGGGTGGTCGGGCAGGGGGGACGAAGTCGGACTTGTTCTTTGTTCTTGGCATGTCAGCGTTTTTTTCCCACCCTAGACCCAAACCCCCAAAAATAATGATAACAATGATAATAATGATAATGATAATAACAGTAATATTGATAATAACTGATAATAATAGTAATAGTAATAATAATAATAATAATAATAATAATAATAATAATAATAATAATAATAAAATAATAATAATAGTAATAATAATAATAATAATAATATTAAAACACAAACCCTATACGACTGTAGATTCCATCCGAAGCTTTTCCCCACCTGAAAGCGTTGGGTTCGGGCGCGCGAAGTCGTTTGTTTCAAAAAGAAGGATGGATGTTCTAAGGCAAATATCTATGAAGGGCCGCAAATCGTGGCGAGGCCGCTTTGGCATTGCCTGGTTTCTGGGGGACGGCCGGGTGAACACGCCGTCGGAAGAAAAATCGGTTGACGTCTCAGATGGTGATTGTTGGCAGGGGTAAGGATGGTTTGCCGTTAAGCCGCGCGGCTTCGGAGTCCATCCCAGGATCGAGTTGGCTTCGCTCGCGGTTGGAGGGGCGGAGCTCTATGCAAGCCATTTTTCGAATTTGAGTGCTAGGTGAACGGGGCATCCGGGCGAAAAGGCACAGATTTCAAAGAATAGACTGCTCACATCTGAGGGCAGAGGAAAGCATCGTAAAGCTTCGCCAATGTCAGCGTCTAGAACAGTAGCACATCGCAGCATTTCTCGCCGGATCGGGCTGGATCGCCGCGGGTTTTTGGGGCGTTCTCCTTTGGTTCGACGGCGCTGTTCTATGTTTGTAGAGCGCGTTCGTTGCTTCTCGGCCTCCCCTAGCACCCTCTTTGTGAGCAGAGCGCAGGAGCCGGGAGTGGAACTTTGAATGGATTCGGCGGGCCAGGAGTTTTGTGCGCCTTCTCCCTAGTTGAGCCATCGATTGTGCAAAACATAAAGGCGCTGGCGTGTGTGATCGTTACTGCTGGGTGTCAGGGGCTGTAGGTGCGATGGAGGGAGGGAATCGTGCGAAGCAACACGGTGGGGGCAACCTCGAGGGTCCAAACTGGTCTCCTTTTGGACAAATGGATTCGGCCAAATGACCAGAAAGAAGCTAAAACCATAGTGGAGCCCATCTATCCTGTACCCCATTCAGATCACCCTTATTGGGTTAACATGTGCGTTGTTTGCACTGTACGTGGGGCAACAACTGCAGCCCCACCCGCTTCCCCTCGAAAGCCCCTCATTGAACGACCCTTGGTCCCCTTTTTGTGCCCTTTCGCACTTTTTTTCTTCCTTTTTTTTTGAGGTTCCCCTACTAAAATAGACAACTGAGGAAAAATAGTGTACCCTTATTCTATCCCTTGGAGGACCTAGACCCATTGGTCCGTCCTCCGGCCCGGCAGGATACCCCGTGGATCCACAGCTCTTCGAGTTGGCCGACCTGCTGGTGGTGCAGTTCCAGTCTCGCCCGGGGGAGGCGAATGGCGAACGCCCATGGAGCCGGGGTGGGTCCCACCTCCCCCCCCCCCCACCCACTTCCCCCTGGAAGTGTCTCAAGGAGGGAAGTGATTTATACAAAATGGGTTTCGGCTTGTGGGTTCTCTTTGGCCCAAAACAACCGAATTGGCACCCCACCCCCCCCACCCCCACCTGCTCATTTCCATTTTTGGGCGGATGCAGTGAGACCCTTGCAAAGGCACTCTTCTCAAGCCACAACCTCCAAGAAGAACATGTGGCCTTCAGCTTGGGGCTGAGAACATGAGCTGGTGTTGCAAAAGTCTTCAAGTGGAGCAAAGGAGCAAAGTCGTGTTCACATTTTTCCAAGCATACTCTTTGGAAGGGGCCCTGCATCCAAAGAATCCATTCGAGTATCCTGGGACCGCCTTGCAGACCTTCCTCGGCCAGGCGCACCCTCCGGAGGGCTTCTTCAATTATCTCTGCGGCGGGCCGGAGGAGAAGCGCCGCGGCCGGAGACGTGTTTCTCCAAGTTCGGGGGGGAAAGAACAACCGAGAAAACTTTGGTGCATTTTGCTTGGATAGAAAACTTTGGATGTGGGTGTGGCTCAAAATTAAACAGGAGGGGTTACGCAATTTTTGGTCCTAGTTGTTGTTTCTTTGGTGCATTTTGCCAAGGGCTGTTAGGACTTGAGAACTTTTGCCACCGAATGGGTTTTCCGTTAAACCACTAAAAGTTAAACTTTCAGCGGGGGAGCAGAAAGCAACCGAGAAAAGAAGCAACAAGTACAAGAAACAAAGCAAAGCAGAACAAGAACACCCCAGTGGTTTGGGAGCCCAGTTGGGATTTGGGGTTGTTTGGGGCCCGGGGTGATTGAACCCCTCAACTGGTGGTCAACAGCTGGGGAGAGTCCGTGCCAGCGGGGCAACCCCTGGGATTATTTTGGACCGGTGGCTTGGTTTTGCTTTTGATTTCTCTTTTCAAACTTGTTCCTTTCTCCGTCTGCTCGTGCTTCTTTCCGCCTTTTTAGCTTCTTTCCCCGGTCTGTCCACTCCTCACCGCACATTTTTCTTCTCCCTTTCCTCCCCTCCCTTGTCTCACTCTGCCGGTTGTCTCTCTTTCTCTCTCTCTCTCTCTTTCTCTCTCTCTCTCTCTTTTCTCCCTTTTTTTCTTCCTTTTCTCTCTCTCTCTCTCTCCTTTGGCGTCTCTTGTTGCGTCTTTTTTAAAAATAATAATAATAATAATAATAAGAAGAATAATCATACTAATAATAATAAGAACAATAATGATATCGTTTATTATAATAATAATAATAATAATAATAATAATAATAATAATAATAATAATAATAATAATAATAATATATATATATATATATATATTCAATCTTGGGTGTGTGCCTGCGGGGTCTCTCAACCCCCAAGACGGCCACGGCTTCCCGGCGGTTCTCCCAGCGCTGGAGGTGGCCTTTACCCAACGAGCCGAGACCTCAGCATCGATCCGACGAGCCTCGCCGAGCCGGGCGCCGGGATTTTTTTGGGCGAAAGCGAACGCCGTGCGACTCTTTTTGGGTCCTGGGGGATCCATTTCGGAAATTCAGCTCTTTTTTTTTGGGAATTAGAGCAAAACAAATGTGGTGTTGTTTCCATGGGCCTTTGCCAACTTCAAGAGCGATGTTCCTCTTCTGGCTGGTTTTTTGGGGATGGATTGCAAACGGGCAGGCGGTGACCATGTACCAACTATTAACGAGCAAAGGACTTTCTCTTCTCGTCTTGGAGAGCGGGAGCCACATCCTGCCCCGGTTTTTCCGGGTCATGTGGGTTCCTTCCGGATGTTTCGCCCAAGAGAGTCCTGGCACACTGGAGCCAGCAACCCCGCGGCTGTCCGAGCAACACTGGTGGCTCTCTTCGTCGGGTGGCCCGGCCTTAGGAGCTGGCTCTGTCAAGGCTGGCGGCTCATGGCTCAGGAGGTTCCTCATTCGGCTACGAACTTTGTGGAACGCCCGAAGAATGTCCGCCAGCCTGGGTTCCCGCTGCAACATAATATGGGTATGTACGGTATGGATCAAAATGAAACCATCAGGAATTGGACCGCAGGTTCTTGTCTTCGTTTTAATTTACAAAGGCTGGTTACCACATTGTTGACCCACACCCATATCCAGTTGGCGCATCAGCCCGCCATGGGGCAGCACCAAAGCGTTTGCTGCCAGGAGGAGCAGGCGCGCTTGCGAACAAGATGGGGTGGTTTTCCCCCGAAAATGCGGGGGCACTCTTAAAAAGTAGCGGGTCCCCTGCTTGGATGGTCAGTAACGTCAGGTAAGTAGGTTATAACCAGGGTTATGACTGGTGTAACTGCGGGTGTTAGTCCCCTTACATCCTTGTTTTACCAACACCTAAGTTATGGCCCTTCTGGGAAGGCCTTGGGCAGAATGTGCCCCAAGCAAAAGGCCGCATTTGAGCCATGGAAAAGGTGAGCCCGGCCGTTTTTTTCTTTTTTTGTTTTGTTCCTCTGCTTTTTGCGCTGGCTCGGTTTGGTTTAGTTGGTTTGGTTGGTTTGGTTGGTTTGGTTGGTTTGGTTTGTTTGGTTGGTTGGTTCGTTGGTTGATTGGACAGCTCCAAGCTTGGGGAACACCCACGCAGATGCACCTCGACCTTCATTCCTCGAGTCGCAGGAACCAAGCAAGCATCAGGCGTCTAGGCTGACTTTCTCTCCGGGGACAAAGTGCATTTCGCACTAGTTGGGATGGACGAACTCCTGTGAATTTTGGGGTGCAACTGGTAGTGGATGTTGTCCTTGCGCAGTCGCGCGGAAGCCGGGTATAACCAGACGTGGGTGCCTTCGTTGCCTTTGTACCGGGGTTACCCGAGTTTTGGGCTCATCCTGGCACCATCTGAGTCGATTTGGGTTTCCTCCATTTCCCTTTCTTCCATTTGGTTGAGACCATTTCTGTATTTTCCCCTGTTGGTTTTAAAGGGAATCGTTTTCACTACTGGACATATTTTGTCATTTTTTCCGGGGGACGAAAACGCGAATGGAGGCTTTTCGGCACCTCCAAAAGCGGCGATGTGTTTCTGCGTCCCAGGCGAGCGAGATCAGGGAGGTGGTGCAAGCCGCCTACACGGAGCGGCGGGGACTTTCCGTGTGGCGGGCTGTGTGTTGCAGGGTTGTGGGATCACTCGGGGCGTATCCCCGTTTTCTGTGATACAAGGGAATGTCCTCTTTGTATGGTGTGTGTGTGTGTGTGGGTGTGTGCGTGCCTGCGTGCCTGCGTGCCTGCGTGCCTGCGTGCCTGCGTGCCTGCGTGCCTGCGTGCCTGCGTGCGTGCGAGCCTGCGTGCGTGCCTGCGTGCGTGCCTGCCTGCGTGCCTGCGTGCCTGCGTGAGTGTGTGCGGGCGTGCGGGCGTGAGTGTGTGCGTGCGTGCGTGCGCGCGTGCGTGCGTGGGTGGGTGGGTGTGCGTGCGCGTCTTTGATTTTTTTTTTTGGGGGGGGGGGTGCGAGGAAGAGAAGCAGCTTTTTGAGGTCATAGGAGTCCGTCCTTTTTGGTTGGTTTGGTTGAACATTAAGTTTGGCGATACCTGGTTTAACCAGGCGGTGAAACTCATTTACCAGGGAAACCCATCTATTTTCCAACAAGGACACCTATGTTTGAGGTGGTTAAGGGAAACACACAGGAAAACCGGCATGTTGGCCGAGTCCCACTTTGACACGCTTGGGTGCCACTCAGAACCGAAACCATTTTCGCGGAACCGAACCGCGGTTGCCTGGGTGGTGAGTATCGTTTTCTAAACATCAACCCAGAAGTACCCTCACATACCAGCTGCCTATTCTACGGCGAGCTCATCTCCCTTGTGCTTCTGGACTGAACGCACCACCAAAGTGCGATCACCGCCAAAAGGCACCATGTTTGTTTGTTTGTTGGTTGGTTGGTTTGCTGGTTGGTTGGTTGTTTGGTTGGTGGGTTGGTGGGTTGGTGGGTTGGTGGGTTGGTGGGTTGGTGGGTTGGTGGGTTGGTGGGTGGGTGGGTGGGTGGGTGGGTGGGTGGTTGGGTGGGTGGGTGGGTTGGTGGGTTGGTTGGTTGGTTGGTTGGTTGGTTGGTTGGTTGGTTGGTTGGTTGGTTGGTTGGTTGGTTGGTTGGTTGGTTGGTTGTGTGGTTGGTTGGTTGGTTGGTTGGTTGGTTGGTTGGTTGGTTGGTTGGTTGGTTGGTTGGTTGGTTGGTTGGTTGGTTGGTTGGTTGGTTGGTTGGTTGGTTGGTTGGTTGGTTGGTTTGTTTGTTTGTTTGTTTGTTTGTTTGTTTGTTTGTTCGTGTGTGCGCGTTTCTTGGAGGCTTCCTCTTTTATAGCTTTTGGCTCAACACGCAATCAATGGAAAAAACAAAAGCACACAATGTTTGATCCGATGTGATGACATCAGTTCAGCCTCCAATTTTGGGCATTCCAGTTGGCATTTTGTTCCGAGCCAGATTCGTAACTGGCAAGCAATCTATGTTATGACCTACTTACCGGCCCGACCCACTCAGAAGAAGTTGCGCAGCGATGTGTGTGTGTGTGTGTGTGTGTGTGTGTGTGTGTGTGTGTGTGTGTGTGTGTGTGTGTGTGTGGTGTGTGTGTGTGTGTGTGTGTGTGTGTGTGTGTGTGTGTGTGTGTGTGTGTGTGTGTGTGTGTGTGTGTGTGTGTGTGTGTGTGTGTGTTTGGCTGCAACACTAGGACCCCCAGTAGTGCCCTTTCTCACCCTTTTTTGGCTGGGAGGGTTCCCCTGCTGAAATAGACGTCCAGAAAAAATGGTACCCTTATTCCAAGCTCTCAAATCTGGAGGACGTGGAACATGTCCCATAGTTTCTCATTCCACTGATTTTCAATAGTCATATCGGAGGTCCAGGAGTGGCACCGAAGTCCCTTTTTTTGGTTCGGGTTTCCTACGATGACGCCCAACAAAGTTGGTGTTGCGGGCCGGCCAAATTAAATCTCACCGGAAATCCGGCTGCATTTTTCGGGGCTGGCCTTTAGTTTTCCACCAGTTTGTCTTCTTTTCGGGGCCATTTCTTGGTTCTGTCGGGAAGTTTCCTGCGCCTCACGATGTTTCCCTTGTCTGCCTCGGTTCTCGGTAGGACGACGCGCCCGATTCGGAGCTGAACCAAGTGGAGCTCTCGGAGCTGAACCAGGCGGGGGTTGGCGAATGGCAGGCAGTGGGCGAAGGGGAGGTCTTTGGTGCATTTTGCCAGCGGCTGCTAGGACTTGAGAACTTTTTGCCAACTAATGGGTTTTCCGAACTAAACCACTAAAAGTTAAGCTTTTAGCAGGGGAGCAGAAAGCAACCGAGAGGTTGTGGCCTTGGCTTTTTTTCCCCTCTGATTTCCCCTGGATGTGAAGAGCCAGGCCAACTGGGTTCATACTGTAGATGGACGAAATCTTGAGGCCCTGGAGGGATGATTCCCCTGTAAATACCAACGAACAATGGCTTCCCATCGTTTCCAAGTGGTGCCGCAGTTCTTGGACTTTTCTTGGAGGGGCCGGAAATTACTTGTTCAACCATGGTTACAACCTGCTTACCGGACGAACATCCAAGTTGGGGGAGCAGGTAACTTTGACCGTGGCGCAGGTGGAGCCAACGAAATCTGACGCGATCTGCGGGCGGCCGTCCGAGTCCTCGCCCCTCGTGCTTGCTGCCAAGTGCGGCTCAACTTCGCCGTTTTCCGCAAAACTGCGGCTTTGCAAGTGGATCTTTGCGGGGTCAACATCCCCCCCCGTCTGGCTACAGGGAGAGTGCCCAAACCAGCCAGCTAAGAAGGAAGACAACAAGGCACCGCGCTGGGCAAAAAGGTGTGCTTGGATGTTCAGCCAGCATTGTAAGTAGATTATAACCATGGTTCTACGCGGTGTAGGTCGGGTTAGTCCCCCTTACAACCATGGCTTATAAGCTACTTACCCGACGTTGGTTGAACATGTGGAACCTTCGAATCTACAGCGTTCTGCGAACCTGGGCAGGGGTCCACATGTCTCTCACCTAAAAGTGTCCAAAGAGGCCTAGCCGGTGGGACTGGAGGTTGGGGGATTCTGGCGGACACGGGTCTATGTTGCAATGTTTGCTTATCTTGGGCTCTCCGGGTTGCAAGGATGGCACAAATGTCCATGGCACGGGCATATGGCATAGGCGTCCTTTTTGGCTTGGTTGAAACTAGTGGTTACCCATCATCCACCCAAGCAAACAAGTTGACACGGGCCCGCTGAGGAAGTTGGGGAAGGTGCGCGACCTGCAGGTCGACCTCGAGCGACTCGAAAAACAACGCACGCATCGGTCGATCGGTCGACCTGGTCCTGAGTCCTTAATCCCCGGGGGGGGGGGGATCCGCATTCTTCTTCTTTGGGATGTGGTGATGTATGGGAACCCATGGAACTCCGAACTTGGCGAGGAACGCTCCGCCCCAAGACATGTTTCAGCCATGTCTTTCAAGAGGAACTTGAACTTGCAGGTACCCCATGCTATGTTTGTGAGAGGAAGGGATGCTGGGGGAATTTCAACACAAAGGCTGTTGCAACGGTGATGAAGTGGCCATGCCCTGCTCCTTTTGCTCATTTCTGGAAGCCAGCCACTTGTTTTTGGCATGCTCTAAATCCCGCTGCCGCTTCAAATGGTGTTAACAAGATGGAGCTCATCCATCCCGAAGACAATGTGTAGAATCAGATCGTCTGTTGTTTGTTGTGCTGAAATGTGTGATTTTCTTTGTTTTGTGTTTTTTCCCTGGTGGGCCATACACAGAACTACTTTTTGCGCCAATGTCAAGGCACTCTGCTGCACAAGTCAGGCGGAATCCGATGTTCAAGAGTCCTGCTATGACGTGGCCTCAAAACGCGGAGCGGTTTAGATGCACGGTTAAGAGCACGGGTGTACATACGACTGTACGTGCGGGTGCGTGCGGGCGAGCGGTCGCGCGTGCACAGGTGTGCGAACAGGCACACTGTGCGTTCGCGACCTACAGAAAATACACAGCATAATTTGAAAACAACTCAGCCAGTTGTGGCCCACACTTTTTCTGCACACAGTGTGCGTGCGGTTTGCACGTGCGGTGTGGGCGCGCAGTTTACACGTGCCGTGCGCGCACTGTACGCGCATCGTCCGGGCATTGTCCGTGCGCTGCAGTACGCGTACTGTACGTGCCGTACATCCGCACTGTACTCGCGCATCATGCGTGACGTTGGCCTACAGTACTGGTGCGTTACCATTTTGGATAACGCAACATGAAAAGGGGACACATTGTATAGGGAGTCCTGAAAAAATCGGGTGCCACTTCCCCTACCTCGTGAACATGGGAAAATGTTTTGGGGTAATGTTACTTGGCAGGGCATCCTGAGGCGGCCCTCTCGAGGCTGTGCTGATCCCACCCTGCGAGGGGGAGCTTTTTCGTGCTGCATATTTCTGAACAGACGGCCGATAAAAAGGGCCCATGCGAAATTCTTGGGAGACAGGGGAAAGTGAAAGAAAAGACAAAGCAACTTTTAGAGGATCTGAGATGCGTGCTGCCCAGCATCGCCATTTCTTAGGGTTGTTCCCATGCCGAAGCCTCGGGGAACTCTCCGGTCGGCCAAAATTTTGGCCGCAAGCGAGCGCCGGGGCGGGCCCCTTTGGAGGCAGGGTTCCCACAATTAAGCCCAAAAATGATCTCACCAGCAGCTGGTTCATACCATGCAGGTTCAGGTGGCGTAATGTTGACCCCGGATTGATCAACGCCTGTTTGTTAATATGGGGGTGGAGGCCCCTCCAAAAGTGGTCTGACCCCACTAAAACCAGGGACACCCCCATATGAATAAACAGGGGTTGTTTAGTCCGGAGTCAACATTCATATGAGCCACAGTCAAAACCCGGGTAGATGAAGGTTGGTAAGAAACAATCCCAAACAGAAAGAGCTGCGGATATCCGCCTTGGGAATTCTTCTTACATGGTGACCATTTTGATGCCGGGTTTTGATCATGACTCATATGGCGTATTCAGGCTTCGAGCTGTGGCGCCGGGGCTTTGGGCTTTCGGATGTTTCGCGGGGCTTGGAGCCCAGGATCCTGCGGGGCATCTCGCTGCGGAGGACGCTGCGCTCCGGTGCCGGGAGGTTGTGGCGCCGCTCGCCGGTGGATCTGGCGCTGGAGCGGCGGGCGGAGCTCTGGGGGGAGTCCAGGCGCTGGGGAGCTGGGGGGCTGGGGGGTGGGAAGGGGGTGGGAGGGGGGGGGGTTGGATTGAGCTTTTTCTTGCTGGGCTGTTGGATCCTGAGACTTTGGGCTTTTTGGAAGAAGGTTTCTGGGTTTTGGGAGAAAGGATCACCCTCAAGAGTAAATCCCAGGAGGTTGAACACTTTTTGCGGAGGGGTCAACGGCAACCAAGCGGAGGGTAGCCAGCTGGCGGTTGGGAGGGCGCGCGCTTTAAAGGCTATCCGAAAATTTAGCGATATGAGGGAGAGGTTCAGGAGCTAGCGATCGGAGCTCTGGTTAGGGACGTGGCAGGTCTAGCCGGGGGCTCTGGCTCCAGAGCCTTTCCCTCGCCTGGTCTGGGTTTGGGCAACGGATTTGTTTTTCAGAGGCAAGCCGGCTAGGGCCGAAGAAATTAGAATGGAGTCGGGTACCTTTAAGAACAGAATCAAGTGATCATTGAAGCAAATGGTTAGTACTCGTTTCGCCTCCGAACAATTCAACAGTCGCTACTTGGATGGTTGGCCAAGTTAGTACGTGGTTCGCCAACCCACCAGCGTTAACTGCACTTAGGGGACCCCATAAGTGGGCTATAACCCAGGTTGCCAACAGCTCGCTATTTTGGCCGAACACCCAAGTATCTCTTTGCTTGGGGGCCGAATTGCGAAGAGAACCGCCCCTTGGTTTTGAGTTTACCCCCCTTCAAATGAACATGTCCGGGTGACAGAAGGAGATTCCTCTATGCTCACGTTCTGCAGAAGTGTGGCTTCGTCTTTTCTTTGGGAACCCCCTTGTGGTCTAGCGTTGAGTGTGGACACCAACCACTTGGCCATTTGAGGGGGTTGTAGTACCTTAAGAGAACTGTGATACAAACCTTAGCTATCTTAGAACTAACCGTCAGCTCGGGTTTGGTTGCTCCTGTCAAACGGGCCCCATGATTTTACCGTCAAAGTCACTCCGGTTCAGCTCGGTTAAAGGGATACTACCATTCCATTTTCCGACTTCAACCCCTAGACCAACATTTCAGGCCCCCGTGTCAAACGAAAAGGCGACCCCCCCAAATAAAAACAAATAACTACAAAAGAAAATGGATAGAAACAACTAGAATAGCATAATAAGAACATAAGATAAAAGAACTCCCCACTCGAAAAAAATGGGAAAAATGAAAAAAGAGAAACAACACAAATGTGGTGGTCCTTTTGGGCTTTCCTTTAATTTAAACACCCGCTCTCAAAAATACCCTCGAAAGAAGGACGGCGGTTTCCCGCGGGCATTTGTTTGGAGCGGAGGCCTGTGGAGAGCTTCGACATCTTCCTGTCCCACACCTGGCAGACTTCTGGGCTGTCGAAGGCGCCCCCCCCTGCGGCGGGGGGAAAGGGCGGGTTTTGGGGCTTCCAGGGGTTGTTGGAGGGAGGGTACGGGGGGGGGGGGTCTGGGGCTTCCTTTTTTTTTTTGGGTTGGTTTGTTTGCGGGAGAGAGGTTACGTGCCCCGCATCTGGGCGGCTCCCAGCCACCTGGAAGGTCGGGGTCGCCGAGTTCAAGCCACAAGTTAAGCTTGGAGCAGGGGATCTGAGGACAGTCGGTGGTTGATTTTTGGTGTGTTGAGTCTGTTCGTTTGTACGGGGCGTCAAAACCACGTTTTTTTTTTTAAATTATTTTTTTTGGGGAGGGGGGGGCAAGCCCATACCAAGGGTTGTAAAGCACAGGGCATAGACTGCGCTACAAGCGCAAAACCGGTGTTGCATAAGCATCCATAGCTCCGCAAACCGTGCCTGGGAATGTGCTTGATATAGCGACGTGACGTTCCAGGCAGGTTGCGATGTCACCATGAAGGCTTCTTTCAGAGTTTTTTCCCCAACAGCTGGAAGCTTCGGGGTCTCAGCCCTAGCTCTAGGGTGGTCTGGGGCGGCCCACCAGGGTTCCACTAAGGTTTTACCAGGGTTCCACGAGGTTCTGCGAGGGCTACGGGGTGATGCGAGCACTAAAAAACGCACCGCGTGCTGTTGGGGATATCACCTGAGCTTATTTTTTTCTTTTGCCAAAACTCGGTGGGCGAGTTGCATTTTCTTGCCCAAGAGTTGTGGCAAGTCGGGTTTTCGGCTGCCGCTTTGTATACCGAGGGAATCCAACTGGCAAAGCAGCGGGGGCGAGGTGACTCAAAGGCACGCTTTGAGGAAGGCTCCATTGGCACGATTTCTTTTCTTTGGTGTGTTTGAACTTGCCTCGATGGCCGCTCAGTTCTCCAACCCGGATACTTCAAGGTTTTGGTTCACTGGTTTATAAGAGGTGCATTTTGCCAAGGGATGTTGGGACTTCAGCTTTTTGCCAGCTACTGGGTTTTCCATTAAACCGCTAAGAGTCAAACTTTTAGCGGAGCAGAATGCTCGCCACCGAGTCTTGCAAGCCGCAGATCTTCGGACTTCAACTTCCTGGTTGCAACACGCCCCCGCGAAAGGCGCTTGAAAGCGACAACTTTTTTTGGCAGAGGGGTCGTTGCAGTTTTCTTTTGGTGGGGCCAGGGTTTCAGCCAGGTGATGTCCCTGGTGCTGCAGAATGGCTGGTGGCGCCCCCCTCAGGAAACGGAGGAAACGGCGGGCCTATTGGGGGGCCAGTCCCTGACGCCCCCTTCAAGACGTCACTCCCTTAGCAATCCACCAGCACCTAAATTTATGATCACCTTAACACCCAAGGTCCGAACATTTTATTCGCTCACCAATTAAAACTCAACCTAGCAGAGGTCCTTTCAACAGGAAAAATGGTCTTAGGACCTTCCTGCGAGGCTCTCTTTTTCGGACGCGTCAAACCAAGGGCGCCCCCCCCCCCCCCAACGCCGCGCCGCGCCCTCGGAGAGAGCCTTCCGCCCGCCCGTCGAGCTCGAGCGGTCGAGCGGTCCCAGGGCGCACTGCCTCTTCGGGGCGCTGGGGTCTGGGCTGGCGGTGGTCTTGTGCTACCTGGAGCTGCTGCCCTTGAGCGCGGGGATCGAGGACCGCGCGACCACGCCCGGGCTGCCGGGCTGGGCCTTGCCGCGGAAAAATTAAATCGCTCGAGGGGAAGGATGGCTCCACAGGTCCTACTCGTGGTGGGTGGAGCTAGTAGGCACACCATGGCCTTTCTAGTCCACTTTTGGGAAAAGGGTATGTCCGGTATGTTTCGGGTGGCCCCTGAATATCTGTGGGCACCTTCTTGGCCTTCCCTTCGGACGCAACGGCAGAGAGAGAGAGAGAGAGAGAGAACTCTTCCAGGTCCATTCCGTCCAGGATTGAGCCATTGGTGTTCGAGAAGAAGGATGGCTGAAGGATCCCTGGCCACCAAACCCCCTAGGGGAAACAGCGATCCGATCGGTTTTTGAAAAGAACGGGGAGTCGGCCCCTAGAATGTTGGGTGTTCAGCCAACTACGGGAGGATAGCCAGGGAGTGCCCTACATCACCGCCGTGTTCAGACGCTGTTGCCCATTCTTTTTGATAAGAAGTAAACCGTGTAGGTACCTATATTTCCCTTTTCAGGCTGCTTGCACATCACCTTCTTTTCAAGCAAAGTATGAGTTTCCCCAGTTGCCGCCATGGAACCAACGGGGGCGAGAATATGCCAACACCATTATTCACATTTGGCTGTGGGTCAAAACCAATGGTACCATTTTGGGGTAGGTGCACCACCCATTTCAATCTATTTTAGTGGGGATTGGGATGTTTACTGGGGGTACGGGCTTTTGACCCATGGCCATTTCAGGACTTTCATCCAAAGTAGGTCCCCTTGGCCATTCTTTTCATGGGCGCTACTTGAACCCTTTGGTCCAGGTGGATTCCTCCCAGGTGGTTTTTTGGCGGGCGAAGCGGCGTTTTCTGCCAGGACGTGACGCATCCCTGGGCGCAGCTCTTCGGACTCTTGGGCTCGCTGCTGGGCTTGTTGGGCTCCCTGTACCTGCCGCGGTGCAGGCGGGCGGAGGGCCCGGAGGGCCCGGAGGGCCAAAGCACGGGCAGTTTCCGTTCTTTTGGCCTGATTTGAAGTCGAGGGCTATCTTCTCTCCGACACCTCGCAGGGGGATGTTAGAGGCAACTGATCTTTCAGGTACCCTTTCACATCCCACAGGTGCGTTGGTGGGAGGAAGGCTAATTCGTTATGAGGCTGAAGTGCGAAGTATAGCAAGCTACCCAGATGTATATGAGTTTCTGGAAAGAGTTATGTTTTGTTCCTTCCTTTTTTTCTCTGTTTCCCCGGGGCTCAAGGACACATATTTGTGTCGCTAGTACTCAAGCGATCCGCTTTGACCAGAGGAAACCGATCCTGTTGAGACTCCGAAACGCGAATCGTCCATCTTTGAGGGAAGCGGAAGGTTCGGTGACCAGTTGCCACAAGGTCACCAACATAGGTGTCCTTTTTGGGTGAGCGTGGTTAAAAATGGAAGGCGCTGGTTTAGATGAGTTGTATGCCATTTGCCAAGAAAGTCCCTGGTTGCTCATCGTGGTAGTTGGGCCTTCCCCTATGCGTCTCCAAGGGGAAAGTTTGTATTGGATCAGAGGAAAGCAAAAGGATGCAGGGTACTCCGCAAGAAAGCCCCCTGGATTTGAGGATCCATTCAAGGGAAGCAAAAGGAACGTATATATTCTTGTTGAGGATCCCCGGTTTGTTTTGCGATGTTGCAGGGCCTGGCTGCCCGAGTGCCACAATTTATGGCCTTTTGCCACGAGCAGAATCCCAGCCTTGACAGGGATGTTGGTTTCTTTTGCTTGCGCGTTTGCCAGTTTCCCTTTTTTGTGTGCTAGTATCCCATCCCTTCCCCCCAAAAAGGGCAAGCCGTTCTCCCTGGTAAAACCCCAGCGAAACACAGCCGACGCA